CATCTAATGATACAGTGTTGTTTTTATTTATGTTAATGGAAGCCAGGACAGATCCAAGTGCTGTGCACAAACATTTTACCAAATAAAGAAAAGGCTTATATTCCTGTCCTTCATGTTGAATTCTGAGTATCCTTAAAATAGTGCTCTTTAATCTTTGTACAGTTTCTTCAGGGGTTCTGTATTTGCCAATTGGAATGGTGGCTAAAGTAGTAGCAAAATTTATCAGTATTTGTCCTGAAATAATGTCACATGTCTTGTTGCAGGGGCCTAGACTTAAGTTATAAAACTTTAGGTAGAGCCTGTTACCAAGACCATCACATTTAATCCCAAGCAGTGCCATTCCTTCCCAGCTGATAATCTGGTTGAGTTGTTCCAAGATTAAAGGTTTGACTGCTGGTGAAATCTTCCCCCTCATCAAATTGTTCCCTGGTATAATAAAATGTGGACAATTTTCATTACTGACACTGGCGTGCAAGCGCTGTAAACACAATGATAGACAAGAAAGTAAGTTATTTTCTCTCCAGATATTCCAAAGAGAATTAGCAACACAGTGGAAGAGTACAGTTTTACACATGTAGCTGGAAATCACATCTTTATACTGCGGATCTATGAATGTTTTTACAATCATTTTCATCAAGACATAACATCTAAGCTGTGTTATATTTAAATTGAACATAAGACACCTTTCAGCTAAAGATGTCGATATTCTCCATTCTAGTTCCTCATTGTCACTTCCTCTACTTCCAACAGGAACAACAAGGCATCCAGTTCTGCTGCAGTATTGCTTCATTTCAGGAGAGGGCCATTGACCTTCACCTTGTTGATCCAACCATTGTCTTGCTTGTTGTGGCCAAGTTTTACAATGAAAAGAAAACACATGGTCAGTATCATAGTACCCAGGTTTTCCTTTTAATGAACTTGCAGGCCCATGTCTACTTTCATCCTCTTGGGAAAATTTTAAATCTGCAGAACTTTTAAGAAGAACTTTTCCTGTTCTGTCTTTGACATAGCATTGATCAGATTCACCTGTGTCAGGTAGGGGTGCATCTAATCTCAAGGCTTGAAGTAAGCAATATCCAGGAGTAACTGAATTATCTTGAACCATCAATAGATTCGGTATGCCAGGTGTCCAGTCACCCAAATCTTGTATCACGACAAGGCCATTAAAACAGTGAAGTACATCAAGGTCGGAGCAAATACCTAAAGTTGTTGTACCTTCAGACCTACTGCCAAAAAAGTAAATCTGACCATTCACATCATTTGCCTCATACATGAAGCTGACCAGAGATTCCCTCAGTAGATGTGATCTTCTCCACTTTAATATCATTCTCTCATTTACTCCAACATCAGCCAGTACTTCCGACAACTTTAATGATACAGACGGTGTGTATTGTGGTGTCTGATACATTCTGAAAAATAAATGTTTTGCTCATTAATAATGTTGTTACAGATATTTCTAAATGGTAGCTTGACTTTTTAAAGAAGAGGAAGGGCTATAGTACTCACCCAGTCGCCAGTGTTAGCATAACAATTTTATTAAATTTTTTGGATGCAAGTTGGTATCTCCTAAATTGCTGAAGGGAATTAGTTGAAACGTTTCACACATATTTTAGAGTATGATAAGAGGTCACTGAGCAAGGCACATAACTCTTAAGATTGTTTTGACAAAATAATTGCCATTTTTTGAACTTAAAAAAATTCAACATTATCTAGGCTTTTGATACACTATTGAAGACTGAGAATAGTCGAGCAAACTGTCATACCAACAGCTCTTGTTGTTTTTGGTTTTTTATAGTTTAAAGGCATTTGCATAATATTGTTAACTGAAAACCAGTCCTGTTTTAATCCAGTTTATTCATTATTCATTATCAATAATTCATTGTTTAAAATTAAAATTAATTCTTGCTTTTTGAAATGAAAAGACTGGTTAAATTTCAAATCAGTGCAGATTCTGAAAACAAACTCATTTGGTAAATAAGTATTAAAATGAATATTTATAATTGAAAAATTGACAAACCTTTTTACGCATAGATCAGTATAGTGAAATCAAGTTAAAACTGATTATTTCATCATTAACTCAGTGATGCTTATAAACTATAAATATGCAAAATTTTCATTTATTTATAGATTTTAGTTTTGGTTGCCGTTTCTATTTCCTGTTCCAAGAATCTATAATCTTGTAAAGTGCTTATTAATTTCCTCAGTTACAGTTGATTTAAGAGGAAGTTTTTTCTTTAACTTATACAGAAAATCTTCCTTAATGATGACTGTAAACTAGAAATACTGATGAAATATTTGCCTTTGCTTAGACCAGTTATACAGTTGAGGAAATTTAAATTCATTTCAATATGACTTAAATTAAATGAAAAAGAATATGTGGTTATTTTAGATTCAGTATGCTTAGATGGGAGCTTTTGTGATGGCAGTGAGTCTAGTCGTTTGTTGTTATACACAATTTCTTAAAACAACAACTCCTTAACAAATTGGTGTGTCCATGCCCATGTGGTTAAGGTTGTAGACTTCAAAGTACAGCCCCCCTCCCTTTGCTGTGGGTTTAAGTCCTGCAAAGGACTTGGATTCTTACATATGAGGAAGCTAATTTTGGGAACGATGGTGGTTTTACTCAGGAGCATGTTAGTGTCTGAAAAAATGCATGGAGGGACATCAAAGGTCTTCATTCACCCCCTTAAAGCTGAATAGTTGCCTTAAGACCTTTACATTGCTGTTGCAATCTAGTGTATATGAAGTTATGGGTTACGTTTTATTGGTTTAAACATATTTATTTAAGCTTGATTGAGAAACAAGTTCTTGCAACTTATATTAATCACTTCCAAATGGGCTTTCTGGAACCAACCAGCACTGGTGTCATATGAAGAAACATGGTTGTGACCCGAGTATGTTTCGAACCCATGATCTTTGGGTTGAGAGGCAGACACCCTGACCACAAGGCCACTGCTCCTCTTTTATGTTTGTTGTTTTGAACATAACAAATATCCTGAAACCAAGAATATATTATCATGTCTTATAACTAAGAGCTGTATTTTCCTGTCATAAAAACCAAAAGCAAAAATATCCTGTCATAAAACCAGAGTGCAAAATAACAGAAATATTGTTGAACAGTCATCTCCTGAAAACAAAAGGCTTTATTTTCCTGTAGAGAAAAAAAATAGTACTATTGACCTGTGGTGACAACATCAGCTTTAATATTTGTTCCTGAAAACAAAAGGCTTTATTTTCCTGTCGAGAAAACAATATTACTTTTGACTTGTGGGGAAATATCAGCAATAATATCTGTTCCTGAAAACAAAAGGCTTTATTTTCCTGTCGAGAAAACAATAGTACTATTGACCTGTGGTGAAAACATCAGCTTTAATATCTGTTCCTGAAAACAAAAGGCTTTATTTTCCTGTCGAGAAAAAAATAGTACTATTGACCTGTGGTGAAAAGATCAGCAATACTATCTGTTCCTGAAAACAAAAGGCTTTATTTTCCTGTCAAGAAAACAACAGTAATGTGGTGTCCTAAAAACAAGAGCAATATTGTCTTGTCCTGAAACAACAGCAAATATTGTCATGTCCTGAAAACAACAGCAATATTGTCTTGGCTTGAAAATGACCACAATATTATCCTGTCCTGAAAAAAACAACAGCCTAATTATCCTGTCCTGAAAAAACAATAATATTATCATGTCCTGAAAACAACAGCAATATTGTCTTGGCCTGAAAATGATGACAATATTATCCTGTCCTGAAAAATAACAGCCAAATTATCCTGTCCTGAAAAAGCAGTAATATTATCATGTCCTGAAAACAAGAGCAATAATGTCTTCCTGAAAATGACAACAATATTATCCTGTCGTGAAAAATAACAGCCAAATTATCATGTCCTGAAAAAAACAGTAAAATTATCATGTCCTGAAAACAAGAGCAATAATGTCTTTTACCAAAAATGACAACAAAATTATCCTGTCTTGAAAACAACAGCTTTATTGTATTGGCCTGAAACAACAGCAATATTATCCTGTCCTTAAAACAACAGCAATGTAGTCCTGTCCTTAAAACAACAGCAACATTGTCCTGTCCTTAAAACAACAGCACTAATGAACAGCACTAATGTCTTGTCCTGAAACAACAGCAATATTGTCTTGTCCTTAAAACAACAGCAATATTGTCATGTCCTTAAAACAACAGCAATATTGTCCTGTCCTTAAATAAACAGCAATATTGTCATGTCCTTAAAACAACAGCAATATTGTCATGTCCTTAAAACAACAGCAACATTGTCCTGTCCTTAAAACAACAGCACTAATGTCTTGTCCTGAAACAACAGCAATATTGTCCTGTCCTTAAAACAACAGCAATATTGTCATGTCCTTAAAACAACAGAAATATTGTCTTGTCCTTAAAACAACAGCAATATTGTCATGTCCTTAAAACAACAGCAATATTGTCATGTCCTTAAAACAAAAGCAATATTGTCCTGTCCTGAAACAATAGCAATATTGTCTTTTCCTGAAAACGACAACAATATTTTGTTCATATTGTGTCTTTGTTTTACAAGGATAAACAGGTAAAATCTAAGTAAATCTGCATTTTTTAGTTTGCCAGTTAGTAGAACAAGTTGAGCTAATTATATGATTGCAGCATTGCTGTTGTTGTTTGTCATGCAAAAACTTTAATGTTACCTATTTTTCAAATATTTTTTAAGATATCAACATTAATGCTTTTCAGGACAATGTGCAGTTGCAAGACAGGGTGCATAATTCTGAAAGCAATAATTTTCCAGTTATGACCCTTTGTAACTTAGAACAGATGAACGCTTACTCTGTATACTGTGATCTTGCTGCTTATTTTTTTATCGTTGTTGGTTTACAAAAATATTCTAGCAATAGATGTGTGTTTTTACTAGTTTTAGATTGTTGAAAAATATGTTCTAGATTGTTAGAAATTAACTTGGTTAGAAGCAGAAAGTTGTTAATTTTGTCCTCTTGTACTTTACAGGCAGTTAGAAGTTTCTCATATGTGTAAGGAACATGAAAATAGACCAATAGAATATTACTGTGATGATGATGATATGATTATCTGCTCACGATGTGTCATTGTTGGTAATCATAAAGGACATAATATTTCATCTATAGAGGATAAGGTAAGTCATTACTTGTCATAAGGTTCAAAGGTCGGGTCTAATGTAAGCTTTAAAGTTTGCTTTCTTAATATGCCGTTGGCATAACATTGGGATAGGGGAAGATTTTATTTTAGTGTCACCTTTGTCTGCTTGTTTGTATCTGTGTGAGAATCTGAATACTTTTAGTCTGGTCGATAACTTCTGCATATACATGTATGATAAAAGAATTTCTTGTAAAACTCCAAAAGAGCTATAGCATGAAACATCGTCAAGTGGATGTCTACAAAGTTTGTCCAAATAAAAGCCCTGGGGTCAAAATTGGCCCTGCTCCAGGGGGGTGATTGATTTTCCTAATATGTATATAGTACTTCTTCAAAAAATTAAAAATTTCAGCTTGAGCTTAGATATTTTGCATATAAAAACATTTAATAATTTATAGAGCTTTCAAAATTTCTAAAATAGAAAAATAGCTTTAGTTTTCTAAAAAAAATTCTTTATCATAATAGGACAATATATTGCAATAATAGCATATCGTTGTCCTCCTATTGCAAAGTCTGCCAAAGTTGAAAACTATGGACAATTCTTATCATAATATGAGTAGTAAAGGGATATCTCAGTTTTGACTGAGATGGCTGGATCTCATTAGTTAATGGCATAAAGAAAAATAACATTGAGTGTTTTCTTTTAGAACCGGAGTATAGTGAATGAGATGGAACCAAACTTGGAAGCTGCCAACCATGTTCTAAAAAGACTGAAGAAAGTGGACAAGGTATTTGAGAATTTGTTACTTCTTTTGTAACTTGTCTCTTATCATACTTATTCTTTTATCTTATTTGTTAGTGAGAATCAATTTCTTATACTTAACTTGTTAAGACTTGTTTTATTAGACATTTCTTTTTTTATGCTCCCAGAAGAGAGAGTATATAGTCGCTGCTTTGTCTGTCTATCCAGATGTCCATTCGTTCTTCCCCTTTTCTTGCCCGGGATATAACTCTGAAACTACAAATGGTATCAACATGAGACTTTGTAGGTAGTTAGATCTCATTGAGTATAAGTGCAGAACCGTAGCTCTGCCATGCCTATTTGTGGATTAATTGCCCTTTGCTTATTTTGACACTTTGAACTTGTACAAGACATTACTCTGAAATTATAAAAGATATCAACAAGAAACTTTGGAGGTAGATAGATCTCATTAGGAAGATGTGCAGTGCAAAGAATTATAACTCTGCCTTGCCTAATTTTGGAGTTATTGTCCTTTGTTTATTTTTGTCAAGCCCGCTTGATGTGAGCTCAATTTAGTCTAGACCTTAGATAGATCTCATTGGGTAGATGTGCAGTGCAAAAGAACCATAACTCTGGTTTTCCTTATTTTGGAGTTATTGCCCTTTGTAAGCCTGCAAAAATATTTAGATCATAGGCCATATTGGCCTTCAAACTTGGCAAAAGTATAGGCCCGGACAAATTATCAGAGGCCAAAACATGTATTGTTTATCACAGGCACAAAACATTTATTGTGCACAATAAAGACAACAAATTGTTTGTTTGTTCACATTAACCAGGTTCAATTTAGGCACAAAATCATGGAAAATCAATTGACCACTTTTTTAAGATTTAATAAATTCTCTTTGTAACCTTACTCTTGGATCTAGTGCTTTGTACTTAATTTTCTTAAAAAATGGGGAAAAAAATCCACAAATGAAGCGTTGCATTCAATGAACTCATTCCCCAATTAAAACCCAACCACACAGTTTAACTCCAGGTTTCGTTTAAGACGTGTATTAATGTAGCTGATTCATGTTTGTTGTTCACAAATCTGAACAGGTGAATCTTATCTAAAAAAGAAAGTATGTAAATGGAAATTTACAAAAATTTGTTCTTTAATAAGCTAGCAAACATTTATGATTATACGTGAGCATTGTCCGTGAATTTACGCTTACCAACCGCTTATGACGATAAATATAGTTTATGCATAACAGCATGACATAGTACGCAAATGTCACTGGATGTACATAGACTGATGATGACCTGATGACATATTACACAACAATTTCGGAAGAATCGAATCTGAAACTTTTTTTGTATGAAAACAAATTCTGAATTCAAAGGCTTGTTGGGCTGATAATCTTTGAATTTTTGCAGGCCCCATGGGATCTTACACGCCTCTGCAAAATTAGGCATTTGCCTGATTTTGCAGACTGCTTTATTCATTTTTGTAGAGCCCGCTTGCCACTTTTGGCATATAGTTTGTGTATGTGCATACCTCTGTTTGGATTTTGTAAGCTTTTGTGATCACAATATGTCCGGCATCCATCCATCTGTAAACTTTTACTTTTAACAATATCTCCTCGTAAACCGCTGAGCCAATTTCATCCAAACTAGATCACCTTTGAAAATTGTTCAAAGATTAATTCCATGCAGATCTGTTGTTGCCAGGGTAACCAAAAGAAAAAACTTTAAAACATCTTCTTTTACAAAAGCCAAAGAGCAAGAGCTTAGATATTTGGCATGAAACATCTTCTAGTGAGTGTCTACCAAATTGGCCCCAACCAAGAGGGTTATTAATTTTCCTTATATGTGTATACAGTAAAAAACTTTAAAAAAAAATCTTTTAAAAAATCCCAAAGAGCTAGAGCTTAGATGTTTAGCATGAAACATTTTCTAATGAGTGTCTACCAAATTGTTCAAATAAAAGTCCTAGGGTCAAAATTGGCCCCACCCCATTGTTCATAGTTTACAATATTACTTGTTCCTATTCATGGAGAGATTTTATATACAGCTGAGGGATTTCAGGGCCATCATGGCCCTCTTGTTTATATAATTATTATAAACTTCTTTCTGGCATACAAACTTTAGAAGGTTACTGACAAATTTGTTTAAACTGCTTTCCATAAGAAAAAAAGAATTTTTTAAAGCCATCAACATTTTTAGCTCACCTGTCACAAAGTGACAGGGTGAGCTTTTGTGATCGCTTTTCGTCCGGCGTCCGTCCGTCCGTAAACTTTTGCTTTAAATGACATCTCCTCATAAACCACTGAGCCAATTTCATCCAAACTTCACAGGAATGTTCCTTTGGTGGTCACCTTTAAAAATTGTTCAAAGAATTTAATTCCATGCAGAACTCTGGTTGCCATGGCAACCAAAAGAAAAAAACTTTAAATATCTTCTTTTAAAAAACCATAAGAGCTAGAGCTTAGATATTTGGCATGAAACATCTTCTAGTGAGTGTCTACCAAGTTTGTTCAAATATAAGCCCTGGGGTCAAAATTGGCCCCGCCCCTGGGGGTCATTGATTTTCCCTATATGCATATAGTAAAAACTTAAAAAATCTTCTTTTAAAGAACTGTAAGAGCTAGAGCTTAGATATTTGGCATGAAACATCTTCTAGTGAATGTCTACCAAGTTTGTTCAAATAAAAGCCCTGGGGTCAAAATTGGCCCCGACCCAGGGGGGTCATTGATTTTCCCTATATGCATATAGTAAAAACTTAAAAAATCTTCTTTTAAAGAACCCAAAGAGCTAGAGCTAAGATATTAAGCATGAAACATCTTCTAGTGAGTGTCTACCAAGTTTGTTCAAATTAAAGCCCTGGGGTCAAAATTGGCCCCGCCCCAGGGGGTCATTGATTTTCCCTATATGCATATAGTAAAAACTTAAAAAATCTTCTTTTAAAGAACTCAAAGAGCTAGAGCTAAGATATTTAGCATGAAACATGTTCTAATGGGTGTCTACCAAGTATGTTCAAATAAAAGCCCTGGGGTCAAAACTGGCCCCGCCGGGGGGGGGGGGGGTCATTGATTTTCCTTATATGTGTATAGCAAAAACTTAAAAATCTTCTTTGGAAAAACCCAAATAGCTAGAGTTCAGATATTAAGCATGAAACATCTTTAAGTAAATATCTACAAAGTTTGTTAAAATAAACGCCCGGGGGTCAAAACTGGCCCTGCCCCAGGGGTGACATTGTTTTTAACTATATGTGTATAGTAAAAACTTTAAAAATCTTCTTTTAAAAATGCCAATGAGCTAGAACTTAGATGTTTAGCATGAAACATCTTCTTATGGGTGTCTACCAAGTCTGTTCAAATAAACAAATAAAAGCCCTTGGGTAAAAATTGGCCCGGGGGTGGGGGGCCTATATACAGGTGAGCGACCTCAGGGCCATCATGGCCCTCTTGTTTATTCTAGAACACTGTTTTTATTTGAGCCGCGTCATGACAAAACCAACATAGTGCGTTTACGACAAGCATGGATCCAGACCAGCCTGCGCATCCGCACAGTCTGATCAGGATGCATACTGTTCACTATTATTTTCTCTACTTGTAAAAGGGTTGGTAAGCGAACAGCATGGATCCTGATCAGACTGCGCGGATGCACAGGGTGGTCTGGATCCATGCTGGTCGCAAACGCACTATGTTGGTTTTGTCGTGACGCCGCTCATTTTATGAATAAAAATAATGATCTCTCACCACAGATTGGAGTTACATATTTATTCTCTGAAATTTTATGGCAACTGAAATTCAAATTTAATCAATTTAATTAAAAGGAACTACCATTGCTTGTGCCTGACTACAAGAAAGACATGTTCAGCGTGATGGAGGATATTCAAGCTCATTTCCAGCATCTTCATGGTGTTTTACAAGTCCGGGAACACATACTAGAGCAACAGGTTCTACATGTGGTCAGAGATGGGCTCAAACCACTAGAGAAATTGGTATGATTGTTAACATGCATTTATTGTAATGATTATAAAACTTCAATCTGCTTTTTTTTTACCAGAAAAAAAAGGATTTGTTTCAGTTAGCTTTATATTGAGTAATCTAGAAATATTTACTAAACTTGGTTACAGAGAGCTTGAAACATGAAATATGACATGTAACACTTTTAATGCTTGTGACACTAATGGTTTGCTTATACAAGAGTCATGCCAGTGTACACATTGTTGCAGTCAGATTAGATTCTCTCGAAGCTCAATTTTAATAATATTTTTATGCCACCGCAGCATCTGCGATGCGGTGGCATATAGCGATTCACCTGTGTGTGTGTGCGTGTGTTTGTGTGTGTGTTTGTGTGTGTGTTATATAGATTATATAGTGAACTTAAAAAATCTTCTTTTGAAAATCCACTAGTCCAATTTCAACAAAACTTGGCAGGATTGTTCCTTGGGTGAAGAACTTCCAAATTTGTTCAAAGAATTTCATTCCATACAGAAATCTGGTTGCCATGGCAACCAAAAGGAATTATAAGAATAAATTTAAAAAATCTTCTTGTAAAGACCCAAAAGGCCTAGAGCTTAGATACTTTGCATAAGGCATTGTCTGGTAGACCTCTACCCAGATTGTTCAAATTATAGCCCTGGGGTCAAAATCGGCCCTGCCCCGGGGTCATTGTATGTCCTTATATGTATATAGTAAAAACTTATAGTAAAAACTTCAAAAAAATTCTTCTAGCAATTGACAAATGCTAGAGGTTAGATATTTTGCAAGAAACATTGTGTAGTAAACCTCTAGCAAGATTGTTCAAATTATATCCCTGGGGTCAAAATTGCCCCCGCCCTGGGGGTCATTGATTTCAATATATACATATAGTAAAAAAAAAAAATCTTATTGTCTGAAGGTACAAGGCTTAGAGCTTTAATATTTGTTAAATAATATCATCTAAAGGTACTCTACAAAAGTTATTCAAATGTTGCCTCTTGTGTCAACATTAGCCCCGCCCCCGGGGGCCCTAGGTTTTCCTTATATGTATATAGTAAAAACTTAAAAAAGTCATCTTCTCTAAATTTACAAAGGCTAGAGTTAACAGGGTTCGACATTAACGGGGTCCCGGGATTCCGAGGATCCCAAAAAGTCGGGAGGAATCCCTGTGATTCCTAGCTGGGGATTCCGTTGGGATCCCTGAAAAATTGCTGTGTAAATTTTTGAAATTTTCTGAATTAATATCATTGAATCACAAATATTCAAGAAAAGTGGTTCAAGAAAGAAAAGAAAAACCCCGCCGGTAAAAATTACACTCTTGAATTATGTACGCTAGTTTTTCTTTGTGCAGTGACTGCTATCAACTCATTTGCCATATATATTAATGAAAAAATTGTTTTGGCAAAAGAAACATTCTTGAATAATTTTATATCATGCATTGACTTCGTAAAATAGAATTGTGAAAATTCAAAAAAGAAATGTAATTATCGTATAATTATTACACAAGCGATGTGTACTTCAAATTTGTGTTGATCGGCAATGCCGGCGGTGCTACAAAGTTATCCAGTGTTTGTTGTTTGTTTTTTTTATTGCCAAAATTCGGCATTTGTGATCATTGTAAATTTTCGTCAAAATTGTGAAAAAAAGATAACTGGTGTATTTTTTTTCCCTACAGTAAACTACGGTTCGACAAAATCCCCTTCATGTATTTTTGTATATCTGGACATAATCCCCTCCATGGGTGGACATAATCCCCTTCATGTGTGAAATTTTGAAGTGGACAAAATCCCCTTCATAAAATTGCTACCTAGGACAAAGTCCCCCTCGGAGGAATTTTTGGTTTATAAAGTGGGTATGAGAGCGACATACTGCATTTGGTAAATATCTTAATGTATAAAAAAAGTAGAAAATATTTCAGCAGAAAAGCACATTTAATTAGCACATTTTAATCACATTAAAATTACTTTATTAAAGGCAATAAAGCATTCATAACAATCAATCAAGTAGTGCAGTGATCTTGGTTTGATTAAATTATCACTCTTTCATCGATAGAATTTGTAACAATGGATAGTATATATCAATTAAAATTATCAACTTATACAATCAATGAAACAATTATTGGCTAATAAAAATGTTTTTCGTACTAATCAATTTAAAACAATTAAAGAAATTGCCTAATCAAAAATGTGTTATGCAGTTGATAATTTACCATAATTTTAATGAAAACATCTAAGCTAAATAAAGGTTAACTATTGATACATAATGATAAATAAAAAAACAAAAGTTCAATATTCATCAATTTTTAGGGAGTATAATAATACATTATTCATCAATTTTTATGGAGCATAATAATACATTAGAAACCTATGAAACAAGGGGATTTTGTCCGGGCAGTGAAGGGGATTTTGTCCGGCCTTGCAAAAAATGAAGGGGATTATGTCCACCCATGAAGGGGATTTTGTCCAGGTAGGCGAAGGGGATTTTGTCCGAAGGGGATTATGTCTGACATTCGTAAACTACAGCAAAAGTATAATTAATAAACAAAATAAAAAGAATCCATACTTTTAAGTTTAAAATCCTTTTTGAAACTCACAGCCTTCAATGCTAAAAAAAAATTGTCTAACAAGGTTACGCATTATTTACCGACAAGAAATAGAAAAATCCTTAGGTAAAACATACACCAAATGACGAAATATACAGCAAATGACGTATATTTCATCTGACAGTGCTTTGAGCCAATCAGTGTTGTGAACTACATGACTGCTGTATGCGGTGAGTGCCTTTGATGTGACAGGTGTCAAAACTTTCAAAAAAAAATATCAATACACAGGGAGGAAAGGGATCGGACATTTCAGTGTAAAAATTGAGAACAATAAATTTGGATATTGCACATACTGTCATGGACTTGGCGCAACTTATTATTTTCAAAAATGAAATCATTTAAAGGTACCGTACTTGTAATGCAAACCAAACTTTTTCTTGATATTTTTATTAGCTTAAGTAAAAAATTATCAAAATATTTAATTTACAACAATCTATGGGATTTTTCCTTTTAAACACAAAAATGTAAGATGAAATCAAATATTTTTTTAAAGTGATCATAATTAAGAATTTCTTTAAAAATGACATGAAAGTAAATAATTTTCAAAAGTTATCCATACCAGACCTTTCTGGAATATGGAGCCTAATCATTACCTGTAATTTTTTAAAGATCTACAGATGATAAGTGGGCTCTATTTCAGTGAACCCTATGCTATCTGGGAAAATGTTTCCCCAGTTCCTACTTAACTTCAAAAATTCAAACCACAAGTCCCTTGTCAAGTCACTTGCATTATACCTTCATTTAGATACAGAAACTGGTTCACAATTATCAACTCCAGGGAGAAAACAGGTTTTAGCAAAATAGCTATTTTCAAATCCAACTCTTGTTCAGTGAGCTTAATGTTATTCTGTTTCCATGTTCATGTAAAAATATATTATGTTTTAATTTATCTTAGCAGTCCAAATATATATATACTGGTAAAGTTAACACTTTGAAACGCTTTTAAATATTTAAACAGCAATATTTCCAAAAGGCTCATAAACTTCATTTTCTGCATCTGAAACAAGACAATATATCCTGTATGTAGTCTCAAAAATAAAAAGAATTTGAAATCGAATTGCTGCACTCCCTTGCTATTCTTCGCCTTCATATTTTACTATTTTGATCTGAGGAATCCCTGACATTTAGGAGGAATCCCTGAATTAAATCTCAGGGATTCCTATGGGATCCCTGGTAAAAACAGTTAGTGTCGAACCCTGGTTAAGATATTTTGCATGAAACATTGTGTAGTGAACCTCTTGCAAGATTGTTCAAATTATAGCCCTGGGGTCAAAATTGGTTCCGCCCTGGGGGTCATTGATTTTCATTATGTACATATAGTGAAAAAATAAAAAATATTTTTGTCTGAAGGTACAAGGCATAGAGCTTTGATGTTTGATATATTATATCATTTATAGGTCCTCTACCAAAGTTGTTCAATTTTTTCCCCTGGTGTCAAAATTGGCCCTGCCCGGGGGCAGTGATTGTCATTATGTACACATAGTAAAAACGGAAAATAAAACAAATGTTTTCTGAATGGGAGGAAGCTTTAGCTTAGATATTTGACTTAAAATGTTGTTCGGTGGACCTGTATCAAAATTGTTTTGAATTAAACCCTTGGGTCAAAATTATGCCTTGCCCAAGGGGACAGTGACCTACTTTCTTGTTCTTTAATGTACAGCAATGACATTTTGACCATGTGCACAGTTTTAGTTGTAAAATTGAACTTTGATATCAGGTGACCTAGATTTTGATGATGTGACCTACTTTCTTGTCCTTTGATGTACAGCTATGAAATTTGAACCATGCGGTGGCATAGCATTTTTCTCAAATGCAATCTTGTTTTCTTCGATATAATGTATGTTTTGTATTGTAAATATCAAAATATAATATCTAAAACTACTCATGAACTGTTAAAGTGAAAGCAATGCAGGTGCATTATGCATGTTTTCATTTGGTACAGATTACAGTGAGTTAATATATTGTGTGTTGCCAAAAGAGGTATTAAACAATGTAAGGGAAAGACAGAATTGAAGGAGAATTGATAATTAACTTTTTAAATTATCCTTTCTTCATGATTTATTTGATAAGAATAGTTTATTGATTTATATGAACATCCAGTATGTATAAAGTTGCTATTGTTTGTTGAATTTTAGAGAGAGGATTTACATAATGAATGTAAAGAGCTGGATCGGACAATAAAAGGTAATTCCCATAATGTTTTTTGTGTAGGCATTAAAGTGGATTGGTCTACAATGGGCACATTTACCATAATTATTTCAAATATTAAAACAAAAACACACACATATACACACACATACAAAAAATAAAAAACAACAGAAATGTATCATTTTGAAATTCTTATAAATTATAACTTGAAAAAAAAATTGTTGACAGAATTTTTTTTTTGACTTAGTCTAAACATTTATTCTAGAACAATTTATTATTTGCTATATAAATATAAATTATGTACTAACTGATCATGTAGGGGCTGAAATTCTTTCGTGGTTTGTTATGTCTGATATTAAACATTATTGATTTCATTATTTATTGTATTATAAACCTCCTCTCCATAGACCAATTCACTTTAATGGCACTTCAAGAAAAGTCAATCCTAAGGCTACATGCATTTACCTGAGACAAATGATTTAGATTGATATCGTCTTAAGTTCTCTTTGCATAGTTAATAAGGGTCATCTTTTAAGAAGGAAAATCTTAATTATTTTAAGGGAGATCTTAAAAACTAAGGGAAATTTTTCCCTCAGGAGCTTTATAAATACACTCCCCAGGTCAATTGTCTGTCAAAATTTTGGCCCTGGGGTCATTTGATCATGATGTTTTGTCACTTCCATACAATATGACATACTTAATTATTCCTAAAGAAATTCCTAGACTTTGTAATGAATCTAGTTGAGAAATTAAAGGAGCCATGACGTAGGAGTCCTAGGTTAAGACATTTTCTTAGAAAGGCAAAATTGTCACAGTTTTGGTCTTAAGACTGATTTCTGACTTAAGACTTTATATAAAAGGCATGCAAGATTTATTCCTATAAAGTAGACTGATGCTTTGCTACCGATCAATAACCCCTTGGACAGGGCCAATTTTGACCCAAATCTGTAATCACTTTAGCCATCAGTTTTCATTACCAAATGACCTTTTAAAATTGAATTATTCTGCTATACTTCATATACATTCATATATGACACTTTGTATACATAGGAAATGGGAAGATTCCAGTTTAAACTTGTTATTTATATTTTTGTTACAGCTGCACACCGTATAATGAACAATAATGACGAGATTATAGTCAATGCTAAGGAGATACTGGACAAACTGTCACACTCTAAAGATATCCCCTGTATTATAGAACTGTGTGAACAAACAGAATCTTCAGAAAAAATTGGGTAAGTAATTCTAGGGTATATATAAAACTAGCTTTATCAAAGGAGAGCTTTGGGAGGTATATAATGTGGAATTACCTTTAATCAAGTGTAAAGAGTTTATACACTTGTTCTTTAATCAAGTTCTTGAGATGAGATAGATCTGCTTCCATTTCTGTATATTTTACTCAAATAATGAGAAATTATGAATTCAAACTGACCAGGATTTCCACCAAATTTCACAGGAGTGATCAGTACTAATCTTAGTGGTGCACTGCTGACATGTTCTGCTTTCCTACACAAAATAGTCACCAGAGCTTGAAATAGGAAACCTTGCTTTCACAGGCCACCTGCTGGCTGGATTTCAACCAAACTTTGCAGTAGTGGTCAGTATCAACCCAACATGTGCATATTGCTGGCATGTTCTGCTTCCCTTGACAAAATGGCCACCAGAGCTAAAGATAAAAATTTCTTGTCCAGGTTTCACAGGTCAAACTGTTGGCAGGGTTTACATGCAACTGTACAGTTCCTTAGAGTACATATCGGGGGAGACACATGTTTTTGTAATTAAAAACCCCTTCTAGTTGTCCCTGCATGTGTATGTTTATGATCTGTACTAACTATGATCCTGTAGCACCCTTTTTATACCCCCGCACAATGAAGTTGTAAGTGGGAAATACTGGAATCCGGCCGAAATGGTATAAGGGGCCATTTCTTTTGTTATTTTATATTGTTTAATAGAGGGCCAATGGCCCATTATTCTATTGTTATGGAATGACCTATTGTTCTCTTTTGTCCTGTTAACAGTTAGATGGCCCCCTGTCCCTATTCAGTAGTGCGTCACCCCATCCAGTGTCCGTCAGTTTTCCTTGTCAGCCCAGTAACTTAAGATTCCTTTGACCCACAGTCTTCATATTTGGTATTTAGATTGGTCATGATTAGTAGATGATCCCTATTGATTCTGAGGTCAATCATCAAGGTCACAGGGGCATTGAATTAAAAAAAGCTTGTCGGCTCAATAACTTACGATTCCTTTGACCCACAGTCTTCATATTTGGCATGGAGGTTGGCCATGACCATTAGATGACCCCTATTGATTTTGAGGTCAAAGGTCAAGGTCACGGGCCTTAAATGTCAGAATGGTTTCCATCGATTATTCTGAAAACTATCACAAAGTCTTGATATCTAACATAGTGATTGGTCATAACTAGTAGATGACCCCTTTTAATTTTGGGGTCATGAGGTCAAAGGTCAAGTTCACAGGGGTCTTAAATGTCAGAATGGTTTCCTGCTCATTATCTTGCTTACTATTGATAACAGTCTTCATATTTCACATATTGATTGGTCATAACTAGTAGACGACCATTATTGATTTTGGGGTCAAAGGTCCCAGGGACCTTGAGTGGTAGTATGATTTTAGATGACCTCAATTGATTTTGGGGTCACTAGGTCAAAGGTCAAGGTCACAGTGTCCTTAAATGTCAGAATGGTTATCGCTCATTATCTTGGTTACTTTTTAGCTCGACTATTCGATAAGAATAAGTAGAGCTATTGCAGTCACCCGAGCGTCGGCGTCGGCGTAACCACTTATGTTAAAGTTTTTGTAATAGTTCAAATATTTTCAAAGTCCATAGACATATGGCTTTGAAACTTTGCACACTTGTTCACCATCATGACCCCAACCTGTAGACAGGAGGAGGTAACTCTATCAAGCATTTTGACAGAATTATGCCCCTTTTTCGACTTAGAATTTACGTTAAAGTTTTTGTAATAGTTCAAATATTTTCAAAGTCCATTGACATATGGCTTTGAAACTTTGCACACTTGTTCACCATCATGACCCCAACCTGTAAATAGGAGAAGGTAACTCTTTCAAGCATTTTGACAGAATTATGCCCCTTTTTCGACTTAGAATTTACGTTAAAGTTTTTGTAATAGTTCAAATATTTTCAAAGTCCATTGACATATGGCTTTGAAACTTTGCACACTTGTTCACCATCATGACCCCAACCTGTAAACAGGAGGAGGTAACTCTATCAAGCATTTTTTTTACTATCAAGCACTAAGAATAGTCGAGCGTTGCTGTCCTACCGACAGCTCTTGTTATCACAAAGTCTTCATATTTCATATATCGATTGGTCATAACTAGAAGATGGCCCCTTTTGATGTTGGGGTCACTAGGTCAAAGGTCAAGGTCACAAGGGCCGTGAGTGGTAGTATGATTTCTGCTGATTATCTTGGTTACTATTTATCACAATGTCTTTATATTTCACATATCAAGTGGTTATAACTAGCAAATGATCCCTAATGATTTTTGGGTCACCAGGTCAAAGGTCAAGGTTACATGGGCCATAAATGTTAGAATGCTTTCCACTCATTATCTTGGTTACTATTCATCACAAAGTCTTCATAGTTCACATATTGATTGGTCATAACTAGTAAATAACCCCTATAGATTTTGGGGGTCAAGGGCATAGGGCCTTGAATGGTAGTATGATAATTGATTTCAGCTCATTATCTTGAAAGTTGATAATCACAAAGTCTTCATATTTCACAGTGATTGGTCATAACTAGTAGATAACCCCTATTGCTTTCGGGTCACTAGTTCAAAGGTCAAGTTCACAGGGACCATAAATGTCAGAATGGTTTCTGCTTATTGTCTTGAAAACGATTTATCACAGTCTTCATATTTCACATACTGTTGGTCATAACTAGTTAGTGACCCCTATTGAATTTGGGGTCACTAGGTCAAAGGTTATGGTCACAGGATCCTTGAATGGTAGTATGGTTTATGCTCATTATCTTGAAAGCTATTTATCACAAAGTCTTTATATTTCTAATATTGATTGGTCATAACTATTAGATGACCCCTATTGATTTTTAGTCACTAGTTTAAAGGTCAAGGTCACAGGGGCCTAAAATGTCAGAATGGTTTCCGCTCATTATCTTGAAAACTATCTCAAAGTCTTCATTTTTTTTCCATATCTGAACACTTCCATGTTCCCATTTATGGCAAGTTTCTATAACAAAATAACCAATAATGTGAGTCAAGGGCTAGAAAAGGGGCATATGTGTTTTTTGACATTGCTTGTCTTGAAAGGTATTTATCACAAAGTCTTCATATTTCACATAGTGATTGGTCACAACTAGTAGATGACCCCTATTGATTTTGGGGTCACTAGGCCAATGGTCAAGGTCACAGGGAACCTTAAGGTCTGAATGGTTGCTACTCATTATCTTGAAAGGTATTTATCACAAAGTCTTCATATTTCACATAGTTATTGGTCATAACCAGTAGATGACCCGTCTTGATTTTGGGATCACTAGGTCAAAGGTCAAGGTCACAGGGGCCTTAAATGTCAAAATGGTAACCGCTTATTATCTTGGAAACTGTTTATCTCAGTCTTCATATTTTATATACTGATTGACGATAACATGTAGCTGATCCCTGTTGATTTTGGGGTCACTGGGTGAAAGGTCAAGGGCAAAGGGGCTTAAAATATTAGAATGGTTTCCGCTTATTATCTTGAAAGCTGTTTATCTCTAAGTCTACATATTTGACATACTGATTGGTCATAATAGTAGGTGACCCCTATTGATTTTGATAACTAGGTCAAAGGTCAAGGTCACAGGGGCCTTGAATTGTAGTATGGTTTCCACTTATCTTGAAAGCTATTTATCGCAGTCTTCATATTTTACATATTGATTGGTCATATATAGTAGATGTTTCCTATTAATATTGAGATCACTATGTCAAAGGTCAAGGTCACAGGGGCCTTAAATGTCAGAACGGTTTTTGCTCATTATCATGAAAACTATTTATCACAAAATATGGAATAGCTATATGTAGGAGATGACCCCTATTGATTTTGGGATCACTAGTTCAAAGATAAAGGCCACAGGGGCCATAAACATAAATATGGTTTCCGCTTATTACCTTGAAAACTTTTAATCACAAAGTCTTCATATTTCACATATTTATTAGTCATAATGGGGTCACTAGTTCAAAGATCAAGGTCTTTACATATTGATTGGATATAACTAGTAGGTCATTATTTTCTTTTTTCCATAACTAAACACTACCATTTATGGCAAGTTTCTATATCAAAATTACAAATGTGAGTCAAGGGCTAGAAAAGGGGGCATATGTGTCGTTTGACGTTTCTTGTTTAAATCTTCAGTCAATTTTTGAAATGTCATAGGGCTACGTAGAGGGAATGGTAACAATGCCTGTGGCCATTGTCAAGTATTAAAGCTTTCTGACTGGGAACTTTATCAGATTTGGTTTCATATTTTGTAAAATGTTAAATGTTTTCTTGTGAGGACTTTTACCCAGCTGCATACAGAATTTCAATGTATCTGCCCAGGTATCAGCTTGTGCCTGAAATAATGCATGGAGGGACTCTATGTGTCTAAGGCCATCAAACAAAGGACACTTGAACAATGCTGATATGTCCTGAAACCAAACAGCAAACATAAACACAAATTTTGTATTTCTTAAGCATATAAAATTGTTTTAACTTTCAGGTTTGTGGCAGGGCCTTCAATAGATAAAATACTTCAGGATTATGGAGCAGTGATTGGGTCTGTGCCACAAAGGTAGTCACTTTGCGACTGATTTATTTTGTGGATGGTTTAGCCTTTTAAGATAGATATCATAATATTATCTTATATTTCTCAGTAAGCACTGAACACAATTACTTTAAAATCATAAAATTAATATGTAGTTTGTTCTTGTTTTTCTTTTTTTTTGGCATTTGTTTAAGTTGTTTTCAGAGACCCATATAAAATAAAATAGACCTTTGAACAACTTCCTATAGAACTACTGATGGATCTTTACCAATCACTTAATCATTGAAAGAACTTTTGTGAAGATTGTTGAAATAAATTGATTTGGTACTTTTTAAGAGCGTTGTTAATTACATTTACTTTTTAAAGGGACTCCACTGAGGTTTTTTGATGTGAAGGGACTGAAAATATTTTTTCCAGATAAATGTACCATTTGAGGAAGGTTTAGACCACTAATCTTATGATCTTATGCAAAATTTCAGATAATTTGCGCACTTCGTTTTTCTTGTCTTTTTTTTTTTTTTTATACCCCCCTTCTTATATTGTTTTGCTAATGTCGGTCTGTCTGTCGGTCTGTCAGTCGGTAGACCACATGGTTTCCGCTGATTATCTTGAAAAGTATTTATAACAAAGTCTTCATATTTCACATAGTGGTTGGTCATAACTAGTAGATGACTCCTATTGATTTTGGGGTCACTAGGTCAAAGGTCAAGGTCACAGGGGCTTTAAATGTCAAAATGGTTTCCGCTGATTATCCTGAAAAGTATTCATCACAAAGTCTTCATATTTCACATAATGATTGGTCATTACTAGTAGCTGACCCCTATTGATTTTGGGGTCACTAGGTCAAAGGTCAAGGTCACAGGGCCCTTAAATGTCAAAATGGTTTCCGCTGATTATCCTGAAAAGTATTCATCACAAAGTCTTCATATTTCACATAGTTATTGGTCATAACTAGTAGATGACCCCTATTGATTTTGGGGTCACTAGGTCAAAGGTCAAGGTCACAGGGGCCTTAAATGTCAAAATTGTTTCTGCTGATTATCTTGAAAAGTATTTATCACAAAGTCTTCATATTTCACAAAGTGATTGGTCATAACTTGTAGATGACCCCTATTGATTTTTGGGTCACTAGGTCAAAGGTCAAGGTCACAGGGGCCTTAAATGTCAAAATGGTTTCCGCTGATTATCTTGAAAAGTATTCATCACAAAGTCTTCATATTTCACATAGTTATTGGTCATAACTAGTAGATGACCCCTATTGATTTTGGGGTCACTAGGTTAAACGTCAAAGTCACAGAATCCTTTAATGGTAATATGATTATCCTGGTTACTATTTATCACAAAGTCTACATATTTCACAAAGTGGTTGGTCATAACCAACAGATGATCCATATTGCTTTTGGGGTCACTAAATCAAAGGTCAAGGTCATAGGGGCCTTAAGTGTCAAAATGGTTTCCGCATATTATCTTGAAGATTTTTTATCACAAGTAAGTGTACCTATTGATTTTGGGGTGAGTAAGTCAAAGATAAAGTTCACAGGGTTCATGAATGTCAGTTTGGTTTCTGCTTATTATCTTGAAAACTATTTATCACAAAGTCTGCATATTTGTAGTATTGATTGGTAATACCTATTAGATGACCCCTATCGATTTTGGGTCACTAGTTCAAAGTTCTAGGTCACAGGGGCGTTAAATATCTCATTATCTTGAAAACTATTCATCACAAAGTTTTCATTATTTTTCTTTTTTCCATAATTGAACACTTCCATGTACCCATTTTTGGCAAGTTTCTGTAACAAAATTACCAATTATGTGAGTCAATGGCTAGAAAGGGGGGTATATGTGTCGTTCGACATTCTTGTTTTTTTTTGGCATTGTTTAACTTTTTTTCTGAGACCCACAGAGTTGAAAAAATAAGACAAACCTTTGAACAAAATCTTCCTATAGAACTATTTATGGATCATTACCAATCTCTGAATCATTGAGAGAACTTTTGTGAAGATTGTTGAAACAGATTGTTGAAATGAATTGATTTTGTACTTTTTAAAAGCGTAGTTTACATTTACTTTTAAATAAGTATGGGTAAGAGTTCGTATTAAGACGACCGTAGGGAGTCTTATCGAACTCTTACCCATATAACTGCAAAACGGCTCTTACAACTCAATATCAGATAAAAATATAAAAAGTGTCACCTCTTTTATTAAGCATAACATTATTTTCCCCAGCAGTCAGGTACAAACAAGGATGGGTCCAATTACTTAATCTGGCATGTAAACCAATGAGTTTTCAACAATACCTAGGATTGTTAATGCAATTCATTCCTGTCATATGAAACAAAATAATGTTTTGCTTACTTTTTCTAGAAAATATAAACATTCAGCAATTAATAATTAACATTTTTCTAAGAGTTAAAAGGATATCAAAAAGTTACTATGTTCTCATTTGTCTCTGCGAGCTGAGCTCCACGTGCATTATCTATGTAATAAATTTGAATGTATCCTGACATTGCTAGTGTTATCAGCCTTTTTATACCCCCGCACAACAAAGTTGTAAGGGGGGTATACTGGAATCAGCTTGTCCGTCCGGCTGTCCAGCCCTCCGTCGGTTTTTAGCTCGACTTTTCTATGAAAAGGGGAGCTATCCTACTCGCCCCGGCGTCGGCGTTAGCGTTAGCGTCGGCGTTGGCGTCACACCTTGGTTAAGTTTTTCGTACCACCCCACTTTATTTCAGAAGTATTACAAGTATGGCTTTATTATCTTGAAAACTATTTATCACAAAGTCTGCATATTTGTAGTATTGATTGGTAATACCTATTAGATGACCCCTATCGATTTTGGGTCACTAGTTCAAAGTTCTAGGTCACAGGGGCGTTAAATATCTCATTATCTTGAAAACTATTCATCACAAGTTTTCATTATTTTTCTTTTTTTTCCATAATTGAACACTTCCATGTACCATTTTTGGCAAGTTTCTGTAACAAAATTACCAATTATGTGAGTCAATGGCTAGAAAGGGGGGTATATGTTGTCGTTCGACATTCTTGTTTTTTTTTTGGCATTGTTTAAACTTTTTTTCTGAGACCCACAGAGTTGAAAAAATAAGACAAACCTTTGAACAAAATCTTCCTATAAGAACTATTTATGGATCATTACCAATCTCTGAATCATTGAGAGAACTTTGTGAAGATTGTTGAAACAGATTGTTGAAATGAATTGATTTTGTACTTTTTTAAAGCGTAGTTTACATTTACTTTTAATAAGTATGGGTAAGAGTTCGTATTAAGACGACCGTAGGGAGTCTTATCGAACTCTTACCCATATAACTGCAAAACGGCTCTTACAACTCAATATCAGATAAAAATATAAAAAGTGTCACCTCTTTATTAAGCATAACATTATTTTCCCCAGCAGTCAGGTACAAACAAGGATGGGTCCAATTACTTAATCTGGCATGTAAACCAATGAGTTTTCAACAATACCTAGGATTGTTAATGCAATTCATTCCTGTCATATGAAACAAAATAATGTTTTGCTTACTTTTTCTAGAAAATATAAACATTCAGCAATTAATAATTAACATTTTTCTAAGATTAAAAGGATATCAAAAGTTACTATGTTCTCATTTGTCTCTGCGGGCTGAGCTCCACGTGCATTATCTATGTAATAAATTTGAATGTATCCTGACATTGCTAGTGTTATCAGCCTTTTTATACCCCCGCACAACAAAGTTGTAAGGGGGGTATACTGGAATCAGCTTGTCGTCCGGCCGTCCGTCGGTTTTTAGCTCACCTGTCACAAAGTGACAGGGTGAGCTTTTGTGATCGCTTATCGTCTGGCGTCCGTCCATCGTCCGTCCGTCCGTAAACTTTTACGTTAAATGACATCTCCTCATAAACCACTAAGCCAATTTCATCCAAACTTCACAGGAATGTTCCTTTGGTGGTCACCTTTAAAAATTGTTCAAAGAATTTAATTCCATGCAGAACTCTGGTTGCCATGGCAACCGAAAGAAAAAACTTTAAATATCTTCTTTAAAAAAACACTAAGAGCTTAGAGCTTTAGATATTTGGCATGAAACATCTTCTAGTGAGTGTTTACCAAGTTTGTTCAAATAAAAGCCCTTGGGTCAAAATTGGCCCCGCCCCAGGGGGTCATTGATTTTCCCTATATGCACATAGTTAAAACTTAGAAAAATCTTCTTTTAAAGAACTCAAAGAGCTAGAGCTAAGATATTAAGCATGAAACATGTTCTAATGGGTGTCTACCAAGTTCGTTCAAATAAAAGCCCTGGGGTCAAAATTGGCCCCGCCCCAGGGGGTCATTGATTTTCCTTATATGTATATAGCAAAAACTAAAAAAATCTTCTTTGAAAAAACCCAAATAGCTACAGTTTAGATATTGAGCATGAAACATGTTCTAGTGAGTGTCTACAAAGTTTGTTTAAATAAAAGCCCTTAGGTTAAAATTGCCCCCGCCCCGGGGGTCATTGATTTTCCTTATATGTGTATAGCAAAAACTTAAAACTCTTCTGTGAAAAAACCGAAATAGCTAGAGTTAACATATTAAGCATGAAACAACTTCTAGTTAGTGTCTACAAAGTTTGTTCAAATAAAAGCCCTGGTGTCAAAACTGGCATCGCCCTAGTGGTGTCATTGTTTTTAACTATATGTGTATAGTAAAAACTTTAAAAAATCTTCTTTGAAAAAACCCAATGAGCTCAGAGCTTAGATGTTTAGCATGAAACATTATCTTATAATTGTCTACCAAGTTTGTTCAAATAAAAGCCTTGGACTAAAATTGACCCTGCCGGGGGGGGGGGGGGGGGGAGCGGGAGGGGGGGTGGAGCGTGGGGGGGGGAGGCCTATATACAGGTGAGCGACCTCAGGGCCATCATGGCCCTCTTGTTTCTTGTCCGCCCAATAACTTAAAATTCCTTTGATCCACAGTCTTCATATTTGGCATGGAGGTTAGTCATGACGAGTAGATAACCCCTATAGATTTTGAGGTTACCGGGTCAAAGGTCAAGGTCACAGGGGCCTTGACTTCAAAAAGCTTGTCCGCCCAATAACTTAAGATTCCTTTGACCCACAGTCTTCATATTTGGCATGGAGGTTAGTCATGACGAGTAGATGACCCCTATTGATTTTGAGATCAAAGGTCAAGGTCACAATGGCCTTTACTTCAAAAAGCTTGTCTGCCCAATAACTTAAGATTCCTTTGACCCACAGTCTTCATATTTGGCATGGAGGTTAGTCATGACAAGTAAATGACCCCTATTGATTTTGAGGTCACCGGGTCAAAGGTCAAGGTCACAGGGGCCTTGACTTCAAAAAGCTTGTTCGCCCAATAACTTTAGATTCCTTTGACCCACAGTCTTCATATTTGGCATGGACGTTAGTCATGACGAGTAGATGACCCCTACTGATTTTGAGGTCACCAGGTCAAAGGTCAAGGTCACAGGGCCTTTGACTTCAAAAAGATTGTCCTTCCAATAACTTAGGATTCCTTGGACCCACAGTCTTCATATTTGGCATGAAGGTTAGTCATGATTAGTAGATGACCCCTTTTGATTTTGAGGTCACCGGGTAAAGGTCAAGGTCACAGGGACTTTGATTTTAAAAAGTTTGTCCGCCCAATAAATTAAGAAACCTTTGATCCACAGTACATATTTGGCATGGAGGTTAGTCATGATTAGTAGATAATCCCTATTGATTTTAAGTTGACTGGATCAAAGGTCAAGGTCACAGGGGCCTTGACTATAAAAAGCTTGTCTGCCCAATAACTTGAGATTCTTGTGACCCACAGTCTTCATATTTCGCATGGAGGTGAGTCATGATTAGTAGATGATTCCTTTTGATTTTGAGGTCACTGGGTCAAAGGTCAAGGTCACAGGGGCCTTGATTTCAAATAGTTTGTCGGCCCAATAACTTAAGAAACTTTTGACCCACAGTCTTCATATTTGGCATGGAGGTTAGTCATGATAAGTAGATGACCCCTATTTATTTTTATTACACTGGGTCAAAGGTCAAGGTCACAGGGGCCTTGACTAAAAAAGCTTGTCCGCTCAATAACTTAAGATTCCTTTGACCCACAGTCTTCATATTTGACATGGAGGTTAGTCATGATTAGTAGGTGACCCTTATTTATTTTAAGGTCACTGGGTCAAAGATCAAGGTCACATGGACTTTGACTTCAAAAAGATTGTCCACCCATTAACTTAATATTCCTTTGACCCACAGTCTTCATATTTGGCATGGAGGTTGAACATGACTATCAGGTGACCCCTATTGATTTTGAGGGTCACTGGGTCAAAGGTATACTAAAAAAAGCTTTTCCCCTCAATTGCTTAAGAATGCCTGTCCGCAGTTTATTGATTTTGACATTTTCACATTTGAAGCCTGTAGAATACATAGCACTGGCTAAGTAACCTCAGATCTGGCAGGGACATTGTCCTTGAGCTCTAAATGGCCACTGTTGATTCTGACAAAGTGGTATGCGGGGGTATTCACGCCATGACAGTGGCAGTTCTAGTTAGAAACACCTGACCTGGCTAATTAAAATATGCCAATTACAATTTTCACTATCAGCACTGGTTTCTTCATGAAAAAGCGGCTACACTAATTACTGCCGAGTAAGAGCCGATTTGCAGTTATGTAATTTTAAAGCCCTTAAGAGCTGGTTTTTTTTGTTCTTGTTTGGTTTGTTACAAATTTTATTTATTGTTAGCTCGACTATTGGATAAGGAAAAGTAGAGCTATCCTAGTCACCCTAGTGTGGGCGTCGGCGTAAACAATTATGTAAAAATTTTTGTAACATCTCAAATGTTTTCAAAGTCCATTGACATCTGGTTTTAAGCTTTGCATACTTTTTCACCATCATGACTCCAACCTTTAGACTGGAGGAGGTAACTCTTTCAAGCATTTTGACAGAATTATCCCTCTTTTTTTACTTAGAATTTACATTAAAGTTGCATACCACTTCAGATACTTTCATATTCCATTGACATCTGGCTTTGAAACAAGTTGAAATTGTATACCCATCTTTGAGAGCATAATAGGACTCTCTCCAAGGCCTCAAACTGTAACATGGATTTAAAGAAAAATTTGGCCCTTTTGTTAACTTAGAAAATTTTACATTATCAAAGCTCTTTTACTAACAGAAAATTTAACATTATCAAAGCTCTTTTACTAAAAAGTACTTAGAATAGTTGCGCTTGCTGTCCTACCGACAGCTCTTGTTTTACTTGGCTTCTAACTAAATTGACAAATATTTAGGTTTGCAATGCATACACTACGAGAACAACCAGAAAAATTCTCTGAGGATACAGAAAGTCGTGTGACCACTCCTGCAAATTCAGATTATAACAGTGTCACATCAGAGACTACATCACAAGGGGATGATGTAATCATTGAAGGTAAAGTTTTGTAATACTACTTTACAAGGGGGTGATGTAATCATTGAAGGTAAAGTTTTGTCAGGCTACTTCACAAGGGGATGATGTAATCATTGAAGGTAAAGTTTTGTCAGGCTACTTCACAAGGGGAATGATGTAATCATTTAAGGTAAAGTTTTGTTCGACTACATCACAAGGGGGTGATGTAATCATTGAAGGTAAAGTTTTGAAAGACTATTCACACGGGAATGATGTAATCATTGAAGGTTTGGTTTTGTCAGACTATCCACATAAGGGGGTGATGTAATCATTGGAGGTAATGTTTTGTTAGACTACATCACAAGGGGATGATGTAATCATTGAAGGTAAAGTTTTGAAAGACTACTTCACAAGGGGAATGATGTAATCATTGAAGGTAAAGTTTTGTAAGACTACTTCACAAGGGGAATGATGTAATCATTGAAGGTAAAGTTTTGTTAGACTACATCACAAGGAGAATGATGTAATCATTGAAGGTAACGTTTTGTAAGACTACATCACAAGGGGATGATGTAATCATTGAAGGTAAAGTTTTGAAAGACTACTTCACAAGGGGAATGATGTAATCATTGAAGGTAAAGTTTTGTAAGGCTACTTCACAAGGGGAATGATGTAATCATTGAAGGTAAAGTTTTGTAAGACTACATCACAAGGGGAATGATGTAATCATTGAAGGTAAAGTTTTGTCAGACTACATCACAAGGGGATGATGTAATCATTGAAGGTAAAGTTTTGTAAGGCTACATCACAAGGGGATGATGTAATCATTGAAGGTAAAGTTTTGTCAGACTACATCACAAGGGGATGATGTAATCATTGAAGGTAAAGTTTTGTCAGAATACATCACAAGGGGAATGATGTAATCATTGAAGGTAATGTTTTGTCAGGCTACATCACAAGGGAATGATGAAATCATTGAAGGTAAAGTTTTGTTAGACTATTCACTAGGGGATGATGTAATCATTGAAGGTAAAGTTTTGTCAGACTACATAACAGGGGGAATGATGTAATCATTGAAGGTAAAGTTTTGTAAGACTACATCACAAGGGGATGATGTAATCATTGAAGGTAAAGTTTTGTCAGGCTACATCACAAGGGGAATGATGTTATCATTGAAGGTAAAGTTTTGTTAGACTACATCACAAGGGGATTATGTAATCATTGAGGGTAAAATTTTGTCAGAATACATCACAAGGGGATTATGTAATCATTGAAGGTAAAGTTTTGTCAGGCTACATCACAAGGGGATGATGTAATCATTGAAGGTAAAGTTTTGTAAGACTACATCACAAGGGAATGATGTAATCATTGAAGGTAAAGTTTTGTAAGACTACATCACAAGGGGAATGATGTAATCATTGAAGGTAAAGTTTTGTCAGACTACATCACAAGGGGGTGATGTAATCATTGAAGGTAAAGTTTTGTTAGACTACATCACAAGGGGATGATGTAATCATTGAAGGTAAAGTTTTGTCAGACTACATCACAGGGGGAATGATGTAATCATTGAAGGCAAAGTTTTGTAAGGCTACATCACAAGGGGATGATGTAATCATTGAAGGTAAAGTTTTGTCAGGCTACATCACAAGGGGAATGATGTTATCATTGAAGGTAAAGTTTTGTTAGACTACATCACAAGGGGATTATGTAATCATTGAGGGTAAAGTTTTGTCAGAATACATCACAAGGGGATTATGTAATCATTGAAGGTAAAGTTTTGTCAGGCTACATCACAAGGGGATGATGTAATCATTGAAGGTAAAGTTTTGTAAGACTACATCACAGGGGATGATGTAATCATTGAAGGTAAAGTTTTGTAAGACTACATCACAAGGGAATGATGTAATCATTGAAGGTAAAGTTTTTGTAAGGCTTACATTCACAAGGGGATGATGTAATCATTGAAGGTAAAGTTTTGTTAGACTACATCACAAGGGGAATGATGTAATCATTGAAGGTAAAGTTTTGTCAGACTACATCACAAGGGGATGATGTAATCATTGAAGGTAAAGTTTTGTTAGACTACATCACAAGGGGATGATGTAATCATTGAAGGTAAAGTTTTGTAAGACTACATCACAAGGGGAATGATGTTATCATTGAAGGTAAAGTTTTGTTAGACTACATCACAAGGGAATGATGTAATCATTGAAGGTAAAGTTTTGTTAGACTTCATCACAAGGGGAATGATGTAATCATTGAAGGTAAAGTTTTGTCAGACTACATCACAAGGGGAATGATGTAATCATTGAAGGTAAAGTTTTGTCAGAATACATCACAAGGGGAATGATGTAATCATTGAAGGTAAAGTTTTGTCAGACTACATCACAGGGGGATCATAAGACAGTCCTCTTTTGGTTGATCAAACAAATTTGACATGTCTCCTAAAATTAACACTTTTTGATTAATAATTAATTCTTCAGAAGACAATGCCTTTACCAGCATAAGATTGTCCCTTGAATTCTTGTAAATTTTCATTCAAACTAGATATTTGTTATTGTGAGCAGCATTTGACTGACAATCCTCTTACTTGTTTAAGGAAATGAAACATTGGTAATATAAACTTGGTTTTGTTTCTGTTTTAGATGTAACTTTTACTTGTTTTAGTTTTCAAGTTTCTTTTTAAGAGTTTAGAGGAAAATAAAAATTAATGTTTCATGTATGTAAACTTTAAATGCATTTATCATAGATTTTATCGGAAATCCACTTGTTCCCTTATTTCTTTATCTTCCCTTTTAGTGTGCTAATGAATTATTGTTTTGTTTCATACATGTATAACAGAAGAGCAAGAGATTTTGTTAGACGGAGCAGGGGACAAGATTGTTGAGTCTGTTAAAACGTCAAAACCTGTGAAAAAATCTCTGCCTCAAAAGAGAAAAGTAAAAGGTATTCTTCAAGATTTCATTATAAAAAAAAAACTATCGAGGGTTGCTATGCCTAACAATCTAATCTGTAATTACATGTAAGGCAAGATTACATTTTTAATTTAATTATGAACAGGCTTTTTTGTTTTCACTCATGGTATGGGGGGCCCTAGTCCAGTTTGGGAAATTTTGCATTGTAACAATTAGAAAAAATAGCTATATTTGCCAAAAGGAATAGATGTGATAATCTGACCGATAGTGACCCAGCAAAAAGGCATGATTATGTTGGTAAGAAACAAATGTTAAACAAAAAAGTCGTGTCAGTTAAAGAGTTAAATGTATTCTATTATTTCAGTAGATTATTCAAGATTAAAAGCAGTAGGATGATTTTTTACTTTTGTACATGGCATATGGCGTATTCAAGTAGTATAAAGATATTATTACTTAAAGTGCTAGTTAGTTCATCACATAGTACATCATATCATTAAAAAAATCTTGGTTTAAACCACAATCTTGTAGTGTTTAATTGAAGTAAATGATTTGGTTTAGTTCTTTCCTCCAAATGTATCATAAGGTCCTGTTTCAATTTCCAAACAATTACATAGTTTCCAATTTTCAGTTTTTATTCATAGGGGAACTACAGACGGTTATTCTAAGACAAAATATTGGTCTGTGGTATTTTTTGGTTTTCAGCCTACTTTGATAAGAATTGAATTAAGCATGTGAAAGTGAAAATATCAACAAATCGAAAAGAAAGATAATGAAACAAGAATTTCTATGCAATTTTAGGGGTTTAACCTATACTGAAATAACATTACCCCCCCCCCCCCCAAAAAAAAAAAAAAAAAAAGATTTTTGAAATGAAATATGAAAGACCAAGAGTCAAAATTTTAAACTTTATTGTCATGTACTTATCTCTTTTATTGAGGCATCAATTCTAAATCAAACATTGTCTCTAGAAAAAAGGTGTTACCTTAAAAAAACATACATTAATCTGATAACCTGCTTTAAACTGAGATTAGTAATGGTGTTACATCATTTATTATAATAATTATTAAATATCAGTGAAGAAAGTTGTAATTGAAATATATCTCAAATTTTGAGGTAAAAAATTAGTTTACAGATATTAAAAAACAAATTCATGTCAGGATTAATCTTGGCATGTATGACCAATGATATAAAGGATAGAGATACGAGTTTTGAAAGATGCTAGTCTTACAATAAGGGTAATAATAATAATAATAATAAACACTTTATTTCATGAAGGTAACATATTAAGAAATACAAATCTTATTTACAATATGGCCTTCAATTAAACAAGATAATGAAAGTCACAAATATGTACACACATATTAAAATCAACATAAACAACAACCATTCAAATAGACAGACACATGCATACATCAGATTCATTTAAATTGTATATCAATCAAATATTTTTTCATATTTCTTTTAAAAGCATATAGAGACGAAGACTCTTTAATATATAAAGGTAAATTATTCCATACTTGCATTGCATTATTTCTAAAAGTTCTTTTAACATATTTCGTATTAGATCTTACATGTATTATGTTTCTATTTGTAGTTGATCTAAGTGTATACGTTTGATTTTTCGAAAACACTATGATATCTGAAATGTAGGAAGGAGTCAATCCTTGTATAGATTTAAATACTAATAATGCTGTATGATATGTGCATCTATTTTCGAAAGTCAACCAGTTTAATTTAAGGAAAAGCTGTAAAGAAGGCGTTTTAACTGGTTTACACGATATTATCTTTGCTGCGCGTTTCTGCAGTTTATTCACTTTTTCAAATTCAGTTTTATTACAAGTACTCCATATAATACAACAATAATCAAAACAAGGTAAAATATAAGAATTGTAAAACATTTCTTTCATTTCAGCGGATAAAAAGTACGATATATGCTTTAAGAGAGCAATTTGTTTTTGTAATTTATTACAGACGTGCTTTATTTGAACATTCCATTTTAAGTTTTCATCTAAGTAAATAAGTAGAACAAACCATACTGGGATTCTACATATTAATGGACAAAACATGATGTTTTTTCGCTGTAACTTTTATTTTAAACCATAAAAAAGAATGGAATTTTACCCAATTTATTTTGGGTTCTTAATACATGTAAACCTTACTTTATCACACACAAAATTAAAAATTTTGACCATAGAAATGTGTCTTTAAAGTAGGGCATTTATAAGAGAAAAAAAATCATGTGGACAACTCAATTTACCAGACATTGTGTTTCAAAATATTATGAAGTTGTGAATTAAAATTAATCTTTAAATAATCATGTGAATTTTCCAGTGTAAGTTTCACAAAAAAATCTAACCAAAGATTAAATGGCTTCAGCTGATAGAATTTTAAGATAAAATGTTTATTAATTTTTGTCTGATACAATGTGCTTATATCGAGTTCAGTGAACGAAATCTCGGGAAGGAGTTTCTAAAAAAAGAAAAGAAAAAAAAGATGTGTACAGCAGATGGCTTGTATTAAGTTTTTCCTTTTTACATATCAGCTGTGCTTTGACTTTGGCAGTTCTCGTGTCAAATATATATTATGTATTCTGATATCAGTAGTATATATAAGGATATTAAGTTTACACTGGTGATGTTTTCAGGACAGAATGAGAATGTACTAGTTACACATATTCAAAATCCATGTAAGTTTATGGTACAGTTAAAGAAAGATAGCTCAAAGCTTGCAGTGATGTCACATGGTCTACAACAGTTCTGTAACAGTCCAGCTGCTAAACAACATATGGTCACTGGGGTTGATGTTGGTATGTTTTTCTCTGTATTTCTGATATATTTATTTGAGCCGTGCCATGACAAAACCAACATTATGGGTTTGCGGCCAGCATGGATCCCGACCAGCCTGCCCATAAGGATCCATGCTGTTCACTGACTGTCAGTTTCTCTACTTGTTATAGAGCGAACAGCATGGATCCTGATCAGACTGCGCGGATGCGCAGGCTGGTCTGGATCCATGCTGGTTGCAAACGCATTATGTTGGTTTTGTCATGGCCAGCTCATTTATTGATGTATTGTAGGGCTATCATCGAATATCGCAACATTGATATATATCATTGACATTCATCATCTGATACAATATCGGTACACATTAACAAATATTGATTCAAGCTAAAATTTATTTATTTCTGTTAGTGAATATACCTCTATTTTGCCTAATAAGAGAAGTCACTTATTCCAGTTTTCTTGGCTAACTTGAACTTTAAACTCTGTTTTCATATGTCAGTGACAAAAATAATAGAAAAAAAACTTTCTGTTAGTTTGTAGTATTAGTAATGTCTAATACCAGCAAGTATAACACCATGATCCCAATCTATAACACATGTTTAAATGTATTTCTTCGTACCTACTGTCAAAGTTGATATATGTTTCTCGATATATCGATACCAAATTTTCCATCAATGACAGCCCTAAATGGTATTGTAAGATTGGTGTTAGCTTACACATTCACTAAGTTATGTACATACATTCACTAAGATGCATTTACTTAGTACTTTTTATAACTGTAACATTGATTTTAACAGAATTATGACCCGTTTTGGACTTAAAAGTTTCTACATTATCCACTATTAACTATTAAGCACTGAGAAAAGTCTAGCACATTGTCCTACCAACAGCCCTTGTTAAGTTCTTTGGTTACTATATTTTTGTAATGAATATTATGACTTGTTCCTTTAAATAGGAAATTAGTTTTTCTTTCATTTAAGTTAAGTTATTTTAATTTAGATGATGTTGTGTTAGCCAAGTATTCATTAGATAACCAATGGTACAGAGGGCGTATCATACATGTGATGGAATCAATTGACGGGATATTTGAGAATACAAATGTTGAAATATTTTATATAGACTATGGGAACACTGAAGTGGTCAATGTACAAAGGTTTGTATCTCTTTATTTGTTTATTTTGATAAAACTTTTGATAAACATGTTCACTATAAGGAATGGATGGCTCATTGTTATAAATGACCTTCACTCGATAGATCATGTTAATATTCACTTTGAACAGTGAATGGATAGCTGTCTGTTTATCCTATTGGTCAGTGCTTAACTTACTCATATGTGCAAGGTTCATTGATCAATCTTGAAGAGTCTCATTGATTATTATTAAAATATGTTAATTTTACACAGCATACGTTTACTGCATTGCTGATATATTATGTCTACTTAATTGGACACTCAAATAAGTAATATTCACTTATTGGTACACACTGTTAAGTTATATTCACTTTACATGGTATGTTGACAAGTTATGTTCCTTCTATGGACATGCTGATCAGTTATTTTCAAATAGCTGGCCACAATATTATGTTCACTTTGTGGGACACACTATAAAGTAAAAATCACTTTACATACCATATCATATTGCGCACACTTAAAGGTTATATTCATTTTACATGATAGGCCGATAAGATACATTCATTAAGACAGCCAATTGGTTATGTTGGCCATATCATGCACACTTATTAGTTCCTATAAGATATGTTCATGTTACACTTTACATGATAGGCTGATAAGTTACATGCATTAAGACAGCCACACTGTTATGTTCACTTTACAGAACATGCATAAAAGTTTTTTTCCAGATGATTGGACACTGATAAGCATTTGTTTCACAGCAATATATTCACTGTCAATTTAATGTAAAGACACAAAAAATACCAGAAAAAGATTTTGGAAGTTGATATATTATTAATTTTATTATTGATGAGTGGATGTCATTAACATCAAGGTTTGACTGTATATTGGATTATTTTTCTATTTTACAAGGTTGCGGAACATGCAGGCCAAGTTCATGAGGCACCCAGAGTTTTCATTAGAGTGTTGCCTTTTTAATGTTACATCTAAAGTAAAGGTATACATGTGTACATGTTGCTTGTTTTGATATGATAAATGCTCAAACTAGATATTGTTATGTTAAAAATTGTTTTATGGTTTAGCATTGAAATTGTTGTTTTACCATAAATGCTGTCTATTAGGCATTTTATTGTCATGATATATACTGCCATCCCTTTATAACGCTAACCTATATGAGTGTTGAAGTTTTGGCTGGGTTGCACAGGTGCAAGTCCGGGTTATAGTATGATGAACGGCGGACGAGCGGGAAAATATTTTTATAACACTTAACAGTTTGTTTTTTTACTCACCCCCACCCCCCCCACCCAAAAAAAATCATACTGTCTGCCATCATGTTTTTTTTCATGTTTATTTATAATGCGCTGTATCCCCTATAACTCTTGTGAAAAACATGCACAGGTTAGTGTTATCTGCTCGTATTTGTTTTAACTGTTGACCGATTCATTAGTTAAAGCCCTGATGTGAGGAAGTATTTTCGCAAGTCCCTTCAACTTCGACTTACTGAAGTTCTACTGTATAAATACAGCATGTGAAATTGTGTTTGCATTAAGTACTTTTATTAGTCCCCTACCAGTTTACCGGAGGGGACTTGAGGTTTACTTCCGTCCGTAAGTCAGTCCGTCCACAAAACTGGATCCCACGATAACTTGAAAAGTACTGAAAATATTTTTATGAAACTTGATATATGGATAGATGTCAGTATGGAGATTATGCACGTGTTTTTCTTTTCTTCCTATGTTGAAAATTCTGGTTGCTATGTCAACAAATAGGCTGAAAATATGGCAAATTTTACACATAAACTGGATCCAGTGATAACGCAAAAAGTACTGTAAATATTTTTATGAAACTTGAAATATGGGTAGATGGCAGTCTGGAAATTATGCTCGTCTTTTTCTTTTCTTCCTATGTTGAAAATTCTGGTTGCTATGGCAACAAATAGACTGAAAATATGGCAAATTTTACACATAAACTGGATCCAGTGTTAACGCAAAAAGTAATAGAAATATTTTTATGAAACTTGTAATATGGTTAGATGGCAGTCTGGAGATTATGCGCGTCTTTTTTTTTTCTTCCTATGTTGAAAATTCTGGTTGCTATGGCAACACATAGACTGAAAATATGGCAAATTTTACACATAAACTGAATCAAGTGATAACTCAAAAAGTACTGGAAATATTTTTATGAAACTTGACATATGGGTAGATGGCAGTCTTGAGATTATGCATGTCTTATCTGTTTTTCCTATTTTTGGCCGGGTTGCACAGGTGCAAACCCGGGTTATAGTATGGTGAATGTCGGGCGGCGGGCGGGCGGGGAAAAAATTTTTGTAACAGTTTTCTCAACAACTACGTATCACAGCCTCTTGATATTTGGTATACAGCATTAACACATGGTCCCATACCGTGGGATTCGATTTCAGGTCTGTCGCTCATCCACTTCCTGTTTATCCACTTAGTTAAATTAGTTAGATTTTTTGACATTAATGGTCAATGGTAGGAAATTTTCGTAACAGTTTTCTCAGCAACTACTTATCACAGCCTCTTGATATTTGGCATACAGCATTGACACATGGTCCCATACCGTGGGATTGGATTTCAGGTCTGTCGCTCATCCACTTCCTGTTTATCCACTTAGTTAAATTAGTTAGATTTTTTGACATTAATGGTCAATGGTAGGAAATTTTCGTAACAGTTTTCTCAGCAACTACTTATCACAGCTTCTTGATATTTGGCATACAGCATTGATACATGGTCCCATATTGTGGGATTGGATTTCAGGTCTGTCGCTCATCCACTTCCTGTTTATCCACTTAGTTAAATTAGTTAGATTTTTTGACATTAATGGTCAATGGTAGGAAATTTTCGTAACAGTTTTCTCAGCAACTACTTATCACAGCCTCTTGATATTTGGCATACAGCATTGACACATGGTCCCATATTGTGGGATTGGATTTCAGGTCTGTCGCTCATCCACTTTCTGTTTATCCACTTAGTTAAATTAGTTAGATTTTTTGACATTAATGGTCAATGGTAGGAAATTTTTGTAACAGTTTTCTCAGCAACTACTTATCACAGCCTCTTGACATTTGGCATACAGCATTGATACATGGTCCCATACTGTGGGATTTGATTTCAGGTCTGTCGCTCATCCACTTCCTGTTTATCCACTTAGTTAAATTAGTTAGATTTTTTTACATTAATGGTCAATGGTAGGAAATTTTCGTAACAGTTTTCTCAGCAACTACTTATCACAGCCTTTTGATATTTGGCATGCAGCATTGACACATGGTCCCATACTGTGGGATTCGATTTCAAGTCTGCAGCTCATCCACTTCCTGTTCACATTAATGGTCAATGGAAGGAAATTTTCGTAACATTTTTCTCAGAAACTACTAATCACAGCCTCTTGATATTTGACATACAGCATTGACACATGGTCCCATACTGTGGGATTCGATTTTAGGTGTGTAGCTAATCCACTACCTGTTTACCTACTGAATTAAATTTCGACATTTATGGGTCAATGGAAATTTTTTCTTAACATCACAGCCTCATGATATTTGGTGTACAAATGCAACCCGGCCTTTTCTGTCTTTGACCCATTTTGAAAAAATATTGGTTGCCTTGGCAACAAATAGGCTTAAAACATGGCAAATATAACAATATTTGTGATTAGCCAAAAAGAGCTGAAATTTTTTATGAAATTGCATCTTTAATTCAAGAGTTATCTCCTCTTTAAGAATTTTGCTTTTAAAAATGTTATATTTTGGTAACAGGGATGTTTCAAATATTAACTTTAGAGTGTCCTTCAGTCCGTCTGTCTGTCTGTTCATAAAAACTGTTTCCTGTGATCACTTTTAAAGAACTTTTCCAACAAATTTACTTAAAATATAGAAAAATTGAAACATTAGTGAATGGCCAATGGCCCTTCAGAATGTTGATGGGGTTCTACCGGTAGGGGACTTATGGATTGCTTGTAATACTATGATAATTACTTGTTGATAATGATTTAGAATAGCTATAACGGTACTGATATTTAAAATGGCTTTCTTTTTTTTTAATATATATTAGAACATGTATGGTATACAATTTATAACTATGAAGATAAAGAAGTAAGAATGATGCAAATAGAAGTCTATGTAAAGACAAGTTTTTGTGATACAAAATTGCTAATGTGCTTGACTGTAACATATCTAGCCATGTTTGCATGATATCTGATAGTAGTATATGTAAATATTTCAGGATGATATCTGATATTGGTATATGTGAATCAATATTTCAGGATGGAACCTGGTCGGTTGAAGCTATCAATACATTTGCTAAAATGGTTGAAAGTAAAGTCATGATACTTACTGTAAGTAGTTTATCTTGTTTCAACTATGTTCATTTACAAATTGATACTTCATTTAATTCATTTATTTATTGATTGGCTGTAAGTCATATCTTTTGTAGAAAATTTAAATATGTGGACTTCCTGAAACCACACCAAAATAAATCTGCAAAATATGCCAATAAAATTGTCTAATTCCATGGTTGTAAGACACCAATATGCCAGTAACATTTTCTTCTCTTTTTTTTGTTTAAACAAAATCACACTGTTTTCAAATTTTCTAATAAAAAAAGCTTTTCTGATGTACAACATGTCACAGAGCTTTAAGGGATTAGAATAAACGTTTAACTGAAGTGATAGTGCCATATTTGAATATCATATTCTTTTTATCATTATCTAATTTTATCTACGTAATAAATAACGTGCCAATGAGCCAGTCTTTAGTCGATCATTCTTAACCATTGAAAGACGTAACGACTGTGTCACTTAGTTCATTTGCTCCACCTCTGTGGAAGTTCGGCTCCGCCTTAAATTGTTGCTGAATTTAATATGATGCTCTGTATGCTAGCATTTAGTCTTCGTTGATGGGGCGGAAGGGAACCAGGGCAACATTGATCAATATCACTTGTCTGTATATGTTGTTACAGATTGTGCGTGAAACTAGTAATGTACTTTATGTTGACCTGAGTAAACCAGCAGATGAAGATATTTTAGATGATCGGCCAATATCTGTACGAGATGCCCTAGTATTCTTAGATCTTGCAAGGTTTGAGTCTCCAAGCAGTCTACCAGTACCTGGAGGTAAGAGTTATGTTTGACATAGGTACCTGCTTGTGCATGAAATAATGTACAGACAGGCACCAGAGGTCTTCCTCCACCAGAAAAGCTGGAGATCGAGTCACCAACTGCCCTTTACAGTGTTCATATTGTGACTTAAAACCAAACAAAGATGAATTAAGATATACCGGTAATAAAAATTCAGTGTGAAAAGATATTTGCATACAAATTTCATTTCTTATGGTTCATTTAAGATTCTAGATTGTTTTTAAGCCCCTTAACAATGATGACGTGACATGGTTAGTAACTGTTGGACAGGTTAGAACAAAAAAGTATATTACATATATATATATATATATATCTGTACATTACGTCTGATATTAGCAGTAATCTTGGTTGAATCATCAACTACCTGGATAGTTTTCTCACATGAAAGAGAGTGGGAACACATAAAGAGATTTGAACTAGAAGTATTAAAACAAAGACAAATCTATATAAAAAAAATGTAAACAATTTGACCTTTGAGGAAATGATAGCACTAAAATCTGCAGATAACATATAAAGCTAACTTATTGGCTGTTTTTACATTATTTTCAGGAGCCCCAGCCCCAAATAGAAATTATCTGAGTCCATCTCCTAAAGAAGAAGGTCAGACATATATTGTTACTGTAACGTATGCTGGAACTCCAGATTGCTTCTATGTTCAAGAGGTTTGGATAAATATTATTTATATACTCTGTGAAATCATATTATAAAGTACATATTGCAATTTTAATAGTTTACTCAACAATTCTTAATACTGTCCACAAGAAATTATTTCAATGTTTTTTTTTTGTGGTTATAGAGATTAATTTGTTTTCAGGAAGGAGATGAGACAAGTTACCTAGCAACAATGATGGCTCATATACAAGATACTTACAACAAACATATGAAGGATACCTGGCACATAATCTGTCCTTCAGTTGGTAAGTTACTGTAATTTATGAGAGGTATTGGATAAGTTGAATCTGTCCTTAGTGTAACATATTGAAGGCACTCTGTAGAATAATCTGTTTATTAGCTGATTAATTAATGTAACATATGTGAGGTACTGGGTAAATAATCTGTCCTTTTGTTGATAAGTTGCTGTAACATGGAAACGTACTTGATTTATCATCTGCCCTTCAGTTTGTAAGTTAATACTATAATATATAGGAGGTTCTGTGTAAATAATTTATCCTTGAGTTTATATGGAATTTATGTATAGGATATCGACCGAGTACGAGGTCTTTCCTTATCAGAAAGATCGATGAACGAGGCCGATATCCAACTTACACACCGTTAAAACTATATTGGCTTGAAATTTGTTGAAATGCACAAATATTATTTGTAATACAACGCAAAAACAGGTAAGCTTTTATTAAAGTTCTGCTTAAATACAATATATACTTTGCTTTCCCCTTTAAAATCAAAAAAGCGAAATGTGCAATTTGTCAAATATAAAGTGAATAGATCTGTTATAAAAAGTATTGAATAATTATGTTGATAGTATTTCGTATCCGACAATTCAGATTCTAGGACATTTGCCCTCGGACATTTGCCCCGCGGACGTATGCCCCCTTCTTGCCGTTGGGACTTGTGACTTGTCAGCTCGTGTATAGATTTTATGTTTGCCAATGGAAACATTTTAGTTTTATTATGCCCCCATTTTGAAAAAAAGGGGGTATATTGCTTTGCACTTGTCGGTCCGTCGGTCCGTAGACCAAATGGTTTCCGAGTGATAACTAAAGAACCCTTAGGCCTAGGAACTTCAAACTTGGTATGGTGATTGGTCATGACCAGTAGATGACCCCTATTGATTTTGGGGTCAAGGGGTCAAAGGTCAAGGTCACATTGACCTTGAAAGCAAAAACGGTTTCCGATCAATAACTAAAGAACCTTAAGGCCTAGGAACTTCAAACTTGGTATGGTGATTGGTCATGACCAGTAGATGACCCCTATTGATTTTGGGGTCAAGGGGTCAAAGGTCAAGGTCACATTGACCTTGAAAGCAAAAACGGTTTCCGATCAATAACTAAAGAACCTTAAGGCCTAGGAACTTCAAACTTGGTATGGTGATTGGTCATGACCAGTAGATGACCCCTATTGATTTTGGAGTCAAGGGGTCAAAGGTCAAGGTCACATTGACCTTGAAAGCAAAAACAGTTTCTGATCAATAACTAAAGAACCTTAAGGCCTAGGAACTTCAAACTTGGTATGGCGATTGGTCATGACCAGTTGATGACCCCTATTGATTTTGGGGTCAAGGGGTCAAAGGTCAAGGTCACATTGACCTTGAAAGCAAAAACGGTTTCCGATCAATAACTAAAGAACCTTAAGGCCTAGGAACTTCAAACTTGGTATGGTGATTGGTCATGACCAGTAGATGACCCCTATTGATTTTGGAGTCAAGGGTCAAAGGTCAAGGTCACATTGACCTTGAAAGCAAAAAACAGTTTCTGATCAATAACTAAAGAACCTTAAGGCCTAGGAACTTCAAACTTGGTATGGTGATTGGTCATGACCAGTTGATGACCCCTATTGATTTTGGGGTCAAGGGGTCAAAGGTCAAGGTCACATTGACCTTGAAAGCAAAAACGGTTTCCGATCAATAACTAAAGAACCTTAAGGCCTAGGAACTTCAAACTTGGTATGGTGATTGGTCATGATCAGTAGATGACCCCTATTGATTTTGGGGTCAAGGGGTCAAAGGTCAAGGTCACATTGACCTTGTAAGCAAAAACGGTTTCTGATCAATAACTAAAGAACCTTAAGGCCTAGGAACTTCAAACTTGGTATGGTGATTGGTCATGATCAGTAGATGACCCCTATTGATATTGGGGTCAAGGGGTCAAAGGTCAAGGTCACATTGACCTTGTAGGTAAAAACGGTTTCCGATCAATAACTAAAGAACCTTAAGGCCTAGGAACTTCAAACTTGGTATGGTGATTGGTCATGATCAGTAGATGACCCGTATAGATTTTGGGGTCAAGGGGTCAAAGGTCAAGGTCAATGTGACCTTTTAATTAAAAACGGTTTCCGATCAATAATGAAAGAACCCTTAGGCCTAGGGACTTCAAACTTGAGATGGTGATTGGTCATGATCAGTAGATGACCCCTATTGATTTTGGGGTCTAGGGGTCAAAGGTCAAGATCACATTGACCTCTTAGGTAAAAACGGTTTCCGATCAATAACTAAAGAACCCTTAGGCCTAGGAACTTCAAACTTGGTATGGTGATTGGTCATGACCAGCAGATGACCCCTATTGATTTTGGGGTTAAGGGGTTAAAGGGCAAGGTCACATTGACCTTGTACGTAAAAATGCTTTCCGATCAATAACTTAAGAACCCTTATGCCTAGGAACTTCAAACTTGGTATGGTGATTGGTCATGACCAGCAGATGACCTATTGATTTTGGGGTCAAGGGGTCAAAGGTCAAGGTCACATTGACCTTGTAGGTAAAAACGGTTTCCGATCAATTAACTAAAAACACTTAGGCCTAGGAACTTCAAACTTTGTGTGATGATTGGTCATGACCAGCAGATGACCCCTATTGAGTTTTAGGTGAAGGGGTCAAAGGTCAAGGTCACATTGACCTTTTAAGTAAAAACGGTTTCTGATCAATAATTCAAGAACGCTTAGGCCTAGGAACTTCAAACTTGGTATGGTGATTTGTCATGACCAGCAGATTACTCCTATTGATTTTGGGATCAAGGGTCAAAGGTCAAGGTCACAATGACCTTGTAAGTAAAAACGGTTTCTGATCAATAACTAAAGAACGCTTCGGCCTAGAAACTTCAAACTTGGCATGGTGATTGGTCATGACCAGCAGATGACCCCTATTGATTTTGGGGTCAAAGGTCAAGGTCACATTGACCTTGTATGTTAAAACGGTTTCCGATCAATAATAAGAGAACCCTTAGGCCTAAGAACTTCAAACTTGGCATGGTGATTGGTCATGACCAGCAGATGACCCCTATTGATTTTGGGGTCAAGGGGTCAAAGGTCAAGGTCACATTGACCTTGTAGGTAAAAACAGTTTCTGATCAATTTACTAAAAACGCCTAGGCCTAGGAACTTCAAACTTTGTTTGATGATTGGTCGTGACCAGCAGATGACCCCTATTGAGTTTTGGGTCAAGGGGTCAAAGGTCAAGGTCATGACCAGTAGATACTTTATAACCCTTATAAATTGTTTGATCACTGGGTCAGAAGTCATGCATAATAACCTTATCACATGACTAATTGGCTGCTGATAGGGGGCATACATGTTTTACAAACATATCTTGTTTATTTATGGATGCTATTTTGACTTTCACAAATTTGCGCGAGAGTTTTTGTGTATTTAAGCACAATAGGCGATGAATTATGGTAGCAAATATTCAACAATAAAATATTTTTTAAAACAGGGAGGGGGGACAAATGTCCGCCCCTTCCAAAGATATGAGGGGGGGGGGGGAAGTAGACCGCCATTGCAAAAAGGGGGCAAACTAGCGAGGGGGGCAACTGTCCGAAGGGCAATGTGTGGATACCCAGCAGACCACGAAATACTTACATATGTATATTGTTGGCAAGTGTGAGATACATAAACCGAAACTATATTTTATAGATTATAAAGTGTTTTAGAATAAAACATGTTCGTTCATCATAAAATGTTTTAAGTTAAATCACCTATAACTTTATTAACATTTTAAAATGGTCATGAGTATGATGTGATTTCTGCTATATAGTTTCATACATATGAAGTTTAAGCGTTAATTTTGTTATATTATGAACTTAATGACAGAATTAAAATTACTTAAAAAATTACGCGATTAAATAAATGTTAAATGTGTCCTAACTCTGATATGCTATCCATTATTTTTATTGAAAAGATTTAATATAGGGGTGCTGGAATAATTGCTTAGTTTAAATGGTTTTAATTTTTGATTGCATTTCATGTTTTATTTGTCTGCGCATAGGCAGGTCTATTTTTTCACGTGTATTTCATGACCGGGTCTGTCTGTCTAGAACTGACCTGTGCACGTGCAAAAGATAGACCTTATAACGGACTTTCTTTTGTTTAAACAGGTCTATCCGAAAAATATAGACCTGTCACAAACAATAGAGGAGGTGTGTAATGTAGTTTGAATGTATAGGAAGCTATAAGCTCTGAAATCTGTTCCTGGTACCAACTGGAACTGAACAATGAGCTTGCTGACAGACACAATGGCTTGCCCTATACAGGATTTGAACCCAGAGATCCTAAGGTCACTAGCCCAACGTATTCATCACTCAGCTCCTATACTCTCTTTTCATATTAAGTTTTTACTTACAGATGCAATCTTACCTTTGATAAAGGTTAAAACATTGTGAACATATTTCAAATTAAAAGCACCTGTTTTATTTTGTGTAACAGATTTTGGTTTTATTCCATTAACGTAGGAATGATTTGTGTGTCACGGTTCAGTGGAGACGGTTTGTGGTACCGAGCTAAGGTTGTACATTTACCTGGCCATCAAGAGGTTGTTGTACAGTATGTTGACTATGGTAACACTGAGACTGTTAATGTGTTTAACTTGAGGAAGATAATTGATTCTTTCCTAGTTCTGCCAGTACAGGTAAGTAATACTCTCATATCTATCAAAATATAAATACCTATTTTCATTAACAGCTTTATGAAGTTATGGTTAGTACAAAATGAAGGTAAAAAAAATTTGTATTTTATTGCCAACTTTTTTTTTTTTTAAGCAAAAAAAAAAGAAAAAGAAGATAATTCTGAAGAATTTTGCTTCATTGTATGTATATAAATATAAAATATGTGTAACTGTAGAGTTATAAATGTAGCAGAAAAATTATGTAACAAAACCATGGTGACTGAGTATGTCAAAATGTCTGTAAAACAATTGTATTTCATAAATAAAATTATTTGTTTTTTTGTGTGTACAAAAGTAGTGGCGACATATAGGGGACACTTCTCTGTCGTCTGTGTATGTATGTCACAAAACTTGTCCGGACTACTCTTCAAAAACTACTGGTGCAATGTCATCTAAACTTTACAGGAATGATAAGTACCAAGTCTAATTGTGCATATCTTCTGCATTATCCGGTTCAATGACTTTTGTCAGAGTTATGGCCCTTTAATAATTTTTATTTTTAAATTTGTCCTCTTTAACTTATACCACTAATGCAGTTTCAATGAAACTTTACAGGATTGATCTGTAGCTTGCACATATAGCAAAGGTTTTCCGGTTGAACGATTTTTGGTAGAGTTATGGCCCTTGAATAAAAAAGTTTTTTGCCCTGTTAATGATTTTTGTGTCTCTGTCTACACAGTGGCTGCAATATGCAATTGGCTTTCTTGAGGCGACTCATGTGATCACTGATAGCCCTTGTTTTCTTTAGAATTTCTTCAGAATTTCTTTCACATTTCAGGCTCATTTTCTTTTAATTTTAAATGCATAATCAACACACTGTATAAAAAAAATTTTATTGATGGTATTTTAAATGTGATGAGAAAGGCAGATTATAATACACAATAAAATTTCTCATGTAATATTTGTATTTTCATTTCAGGCCATTCAGTGTTCTTTGAAAGATGTCCAGCCACATAATATTGATGAAGGTTGGACTACAGAGGTAAGTTTTAAATCAGGGGGCAGGGTACCTTAAAATGAGCGTTCTTTGGTTCAGAGAAACAAACAACATATGACGATTATTTTGAAAACTTTTACACATGCAACAAACTAGTCTCTCTGCATTAATTGATGAAAGTAATTTTGTATTCATTACTTCAACTACATACAATGTGTAAGCATCCAGCAGTATTGTTAATTTTCATAACAGACAAGCATTAACACTGCCTGCCGTACTCTTGTTTGTTGAAGTGTTTGATGTTTTACGATAAATTTAAACAGAAAAGAAAAAAAAAATGTGACACACTATTTTTGAAATACTGCTCCCCCTGAAAAACTGATTGTGTGATAAAACATTTTCTTCTTTAAAGTGAAATTTTTACAACCATCTATGCAAGGTCATCATAAATATTTACTTCAAATTGACAGAATTTCAAAAAAAAAAAAAAAAATGAAATATTCCCTGATTCAAATGAATATGTATTCTTAAAATTGACATTTAATATTGTATATGTATCACATAAATCATGGCACAGGAGGCTATTGAAGCCATTTTATAAATATGATATTACACTAGTGCAATAACAAAGTAACATGAAGACATTACAATTATTCAAACATAGCATTAAGGCGCCTTAATATTAGTTTTACACTATAGGCACTTTACTTTTGACCATTTTTGGCCGGTTGCACAGGACTAGTGCAAACCTTGGTAATAGAATGGTTAATGTCTGGCGGTAGATAGGCCGTGGGCGGGGATAATTAGCTCACCTGACCACGAAGTGGTCAAGGTGAGGTATAGTGATGGGGCTATGTCCGTCGTCGTGCGTCGTTCGTCGTCAACAATTGGGTTGTTAACAGTCTAGCAGTCACAGTTTTGATTGGATCATTGTCAAACTTTGTCAGAATGTTTGTCTCAATGAAATACAGATCGAGTTCGAAGATGGGTCATCTCTGGTCAAAAACTAGGTCACAGGAGCTAAAAATAGAAAAAGCTTGTTAACACTCTACTGGCTGCAGTTTTGATCCAAATTTCCTGGAAATTTGTCAGGAAGGTTGTTTTAATGATTTCTAGGTCAAGTTCGAAGATGGGTCATCTCCGGTCAAAAACTAGGTCACAGGAGCTAAAAATAGAAAAAGCTTGTTAACACTCTACTGGCTGCAGTTTTGATTCAAATATTCTGAAAATTTGTCAGGAAGGTTGTTTTGATGATTTCTAGGTCAAGTTCGAAGATGGGTCATCTGCGGTCAAAAACTAGGTCACAGGAGCTAAAAATAGAAAAAGCTTGTTAACATTCTACAAATATCCTGGAAATTAGTCAGAAAGGTTGTTTTGATAATTTCTAGGTCAAGTTCGAAGATTGGTTATCTCCGGTCAAAAACTAGGTCACAGGAGCTAAAAATAGAAAAAGCTTGTTAACACTCTAGTAGCTGCAGTTTTGATCCAGATATTCTGGAAATTTGTCAGGAAGGTTGTTTTGATGATTTCTAGATCAAGTTTAAAGATGGGTTATCTCAAGTCAAGAACTAGGTCACAGGAGCTAAAAATAGATAAGGCTTGTTTACACTCTACTGGCTACAGTTTTGATCCAAATATTCTGGAAATATGTCAGGCAGGTTGTTTTGATAATTTCTAGGTCAAGTTCCAAGATGGGTTATCTCCGGTCAAAAATTAGGTCACAGGAGCTAAAAATAGATAAAGCTTGTTAACACTCTACTGGCTGCAGTTTTAATTCAAATATTCTGGAAATTTGTCAGGAAGGTTGTTTTGATGAATTCTAGCTCAAGTTTGAAGATGGGTCATATCCGGTAAAAAACTAGGTCACAGGAGCTAAAAATAGAAAAAGCTTGTTAACACTCTAGTGGCTGCAGTTTTGATACAAATATTCTGGAAATTTGACAGGAAGGTTGTTTTGATGATTTCTAGGTCAAGTTCGAAGATGGATCATCTGCGGTTAAAAACTAGGTCACAGGAGCTAAAAATAGAAAAAGCTTGTTAACACTCTAGTGGCTGCAGTTTTGATCCAAATATTCTGGAAATTTGTCAGGAAGGTTGTTTGATGATTTCTAGGTCAAGTTCGAAGATGGGTCAAGTCTGGTCAAAAACTAGGTCACAGGAGCTAAAAATGGTAAAAGCTTGTTAACACTCTACTGGCTGCAGTTTTGATCCAAATATTCTGGAAATTTGTCAGGAAGGTTGTTTTAATGATTTCTAAGTCAAGTTCGAAGATGGGTCATCTCCGGTCAAAAACTAGGTCACAGGAGCTAAAAATAGAAAAATCTTTATAACACTGTAGTGGCTCCGGTATTGATCCAAATATTCAGGAAATTTGTCAGAAAGGTTGTTTTGATAATTTCTAGGTCAAGTTTGAATATGGGTCGTCTCCAGTCAAAAATTAGGTTGCATTGCCCAAATATGGAAAACCTTTTTAACACACTAGAGGTCACATTTTTGACTCAAACTAGGTCACAGGAGCTAAAAATAGAAAAAGCTTGTTAACACTCTAGTGGCTGCAGTTTTGATCCAAATATTCTGGAAATTTGTCAGGAAGGTTGTTTGATGATTTCTAGGTCAAGTTCGAAGATGGGTCAAGTCTGGTCAAAAACTAGGTCACAGGAGCTAAAAATGGTAAAAGCTTGTTAACACTCTACTGGCTGCAGTTTTGATCCAAATATTCTGGAAATTTGTCAGGAAGGTTGTTTTAATGATTTCTAAGTCAAGTTCGAAGATGGGTCATCTCCGGTCAAAAACTAGGTCACAGGAGCTAAAAATAGAAAAATCTTTATAACACTGTAGTGGCTCCGGTATTGATCCAAATATTCAGGAAATTTGTCAGAAAGGTTGTTTTGATAATTTCTAGGTCAAGTTTGAATATGGGTCGTCTCCAGTCAAAAATTAGGTCGCATTGCCCAAATATGGAAAACCTTTTTAACACACTAGAGGTCACATTTTTGACTCAATTGTCATCAAACTTGGCCAGGATGCTTGTCTATGACATTGCTGGGATGTGGTTGATGGGTCAGCGGAGCGATCCAGGGCCATCATGGCCCTCTTGTTTTTACTTTAGTTATGTGATAAATAGGATATTAAAGTTATGTTTAATACTAAATTTATTGACCTTGTAAAACAAAATTATTCTCGCCAGAGGCTTGTATGATAATATGAGTTTGTTTAAATCTTTCAATAAATTTAGTTTTTGACTTTCACTCATTCAATATCCTCTCTTTATTTCTATTGCAGTATTTACATTATTGGTCAGAGAGTGTAACTATGAAGAAATTCTTCATGAAGGTCATTCAAGCAAATGTTGACCTTAGTGTTGTGCTTCGTGACCTTGACACGCAAGATAATTGTGACACTCTGAATGTGAAGGTCATTGAGGATGGCATAGCCAGAAGTGTTGGTCAATGGTCAGTGACATTTTATCTAAAAAATAATTTTTTGTTGTTCAGTACACTACCTTTTTAGGGATTTATATTTTGTTTGTTCCTGCGAAGTAATTGCTTAAGGGAGGTTAAATTTGTATGAAGTCTTGAAGACTTGATACTGTTGTAAAGAAGATATTTTGCCATACAGGGGGCCAAACTGCGTAGAATCCACTGTATATGACAAATTGAAATATGCTTGATACTGTGCTACCTGGAATAAAATTTATCACTAACATAACATTGATATTTGAACATGGAATTTTATGGAAATTAATATATTGAAAAACTGGAAGAAGATGTTTATATTGGTGGTAACAAGAATGTTTATCTATGGCGACAGGTCAGAACCGCAGAACATAACAGAGCTAGCAGAAGAGATGAGTGATGTTGTACCAAGACTGTCTTATCAAGCTGGAGGAGGTTCGTTCCCTGAACCATGTGTATGTATCCATGTCACTCCCATTTTATTTTTAAATCAATATTTTAAAAACCATAAAATTGTCTTTTCTAAAAGATTGTATCAATAAGATACGAAATGTTGAACATTAATGATATCAGTAACAATATCAACTCATGTTACTTTTTTATCTTCAATGAAAAAAATGGTGCACATATACTGTTAAAGTATTTTTTTGGATTTTTAAATTTTATCTTTCTGTACAATTGGTCAGTGTTATATACTCTATTGTTTAAACAAAATACTGTGCAATTATGTCTTGTGCTTACAACAATGAAAATTCTTTATTCTTTATTGAAAAACAAACAAAAAAAATCAACAAATATTTGTAAAGTCAAATAATTTTCTATATTTATATTTCTAAAAACCATTTATCATTTTAAAGTTCCTGATGAATATTCTGTATTTAAGGATCTTGGTCATCAGCCAGTTTATTGGAAGTCGAGAAATACGAGACCATCTAGGAGGTATGAGGAGATTGTCCTTACTCCCCCAAGTTCACCCGAGCGTACTGCTACATCAAAACAAAGTAGCTCTAAACGGAAATCAACTGATAAAAGTTTTCAGTCTGAAAAATCAACTGTTGCTCAGGCATTGTTACAGAGTAGTTCTTCCAGTCATAAAGATGGGCAAACAGAAACTCAAAGAAGTCCTGTCAAGAAATCAGCAAACTCTTCCCCATACAAACCAGGTGAAAGCCAGGAAAGAAAGGCAGAGAGTGATGTTTCAGGTGTGTTAAACAATTCTATAGTTGACTTTGAAAAAGAATAGGGTCAGTTTTGCAAAATTAGTAACTTTATTTCTTTTCTTTTTTTGCTAAGGTTTCTTTTCTATCTCTGTAACCATGACAAAAATTATAGATAGTGGTTGTTGTATCTTCCATCTCGCTTTCTTACTGTTTCTTGTCACGCACTCTTAATGTCTAAATATTTGATATATAGATTACAGTGATCTGAAACTTTGGATGGGGTTTAAAGGTTATTTTTGTTAAGGTCACTAAGGTTTGATTAAAAACAATTATTTTTCTTCTAGTTAAGCCATTATGTAAGAAGATTTCTTATGATATATGACTGGAATACTGTTTAAATCCTACAAAAAGTCTGAAATTACATGTATACATGTATATGCTGGTTTTTTGTCCATCAACACTTTTGTATGTGGAAATAAGTTTGAACAAATCAAGAGAAACATGTTAGAGGCATACATGTACATTTTCCTATTCCAACGATGTTAGATTTAAAGGAGCTGCACTGAGGTAAAAAAAAAATCCAAAAAAAATAAAATTTGATATTCTTGTATTATAGATTAAGTGATGGATTTAAAATGGAAAAATCTGCAAAAGATAAAGACATACTCAGAGTTAAATGATTTTTGGCCTTGTTTGAGTGAAAGAGTTATGTTGTGTTAATTTTACACAATGAAAATAATAATTCTTGAAAAACTGAGTGATTGAATGATCAGAAACTATTAGTTATGTCAGAAAACCTCAGTGGAGTCCCTTTAAGATTTCTGTTTCGTAAACTGAAAGAGACACATTATTTTATTTTGTCTGTAGTGATATTTTACATGTATCCTCATTTTCATTGAAGTTGAACCAAAGGTATCTCCTAGTATGAAGAGCAAGAGTGTTGCAGAGAAAGAAACTGGTGGAAAAAGAAGTAACGAGAAAGTAAAGGCAAAGAAGATAGAGCTTGAGGTGACAGTGTGCCATTTTGTATCCCCTTCAGAGTTCTACCTTCAACTTGTAAAATCCAAGGATGAGCTGGATCAGTAAGGAAAAATTAATTTTTGTCACAAGTTTCTAATTTGTTGTCTCCTACCCAGCAGAATTTGTATATTAATGGAATTGCTAATCTTCAAATTTGAAATGCCATTTAATGTAATGTATCAATATCAAGAGTATTATAATATTGAATTCCCTCACTGCTGATATTCCTTACTGCTGATATCCTTTACTGTTGATATCTCTTACTGCTGATATCCCTGACTGCTGATATTCCTTACTGTTGATATCCCTTACTACTGATATCCCTGACTGCTGATATTCCTTACTGTTGATATCCCTTACTGCTGATATCCCTTACTGATGATATCCCTTACTGCTAATATTCCTTACTGCTGATACCCCTTTCTGCTGATATTCCTTACTGTTGATATCCTTTACTGCAGCTATCCCTTACTGCAAATATCCCTTACTACTGATACCTTTTACAGTTGACATCCCTTACTGCTGATACCTTTTACAGTTGACATCCCTTACTGCTGATTCCCTTTACAGCTGACATCCCTTACTGCTGATACCCTTTACAGCTAACATCCCTTACTGCTGACATCTCTTACTGCTGACATCCCTTACTGCTGATACCCTTTACAGCTGACATCCCTTACTGCTGATATCAAGAGTATTATAATATTGAAAGCCCTCACTGTTGATATTCCTTACTGCTGATATCCTTTACTGTTGATATCCTTTACTGCTGATATCCCTTACTGCAAATATCCCTTACTGCTGATATTCCTTACTGCTGACATTCCTTACTGCTGATACCCTTTACAGTTGACAACTACGTACTGCTGATACCCTTTACAGCTGACATCCCTTACTCCTGAAACCATTAACAGCTGACATCCATCCCTTACTGCTGATACCCTTTACAGCTGACATCCCTTACTGCTGATACCCTTTACAGCTGACATCCCTTACTGCTGATACCCTTTACAGCTGACATCCCTTACTCCTGAAACCATTAACAGCTGATATCCCTTTGAGCTGATACCCTTTACAGCTGACATCCCTTACTGCTGATACCCTTTACAGCTGACATCCTTTACTGCTGATACCCTTTACATCTGACATCCCTTACTGCTGATACCCTTTACAGCTGACATCCCTTACTGCTGATACCCTTTACAGCTGACATCCCTTACTGCTGATACACTTTACTGCTGACATCCCTAACTGCTGATACCCTTTACATCTGACATCCCTAACTGTTGATACCCTTTACAGCTGACATCCCTTACTGCTGATACCCTTTACAGCTGACATCCCTTACTCCTGAAACCATTAACAGCTGATATCCCTTAGAGCTGATACCCTTTACATCTGACATCCCTTACTGCTGATACCCTTTACATCTGACATCCCTTACTGCTGATACCCTTTACAGCTGACATCCCTTACTGCTGATACACTTTAATGCTGGCATCCCTTACTGCTGATACCCTTTACATCTGACATCCCTTACTGTTGATACCCTTTACATCTGACATTCCTTACTGCTGATACCCTTTACAGCTGACATCCCTTACTGCTGATACCCTTTACAGCTGACATCCCTTAGAGCTGATACCCTTTACAGCTGACATCCCTTACTGTTGATACCCTTTACAGCTGACATCCTTTACTGCTGATACCCTTTACAGCTGATATCCCTTACTGCTGATACCCTTTACAGCTGACATCCGTTACTGCTGATACCCTTTACAGCTGACATCCCTTACTGCTGATACCCTTTATAGCTGACATCCCTTACTGTTGATACCCTTTACAGCTGACATCCCTTACTGCTGATACCCTTTACAACTGACATCCCTTACTGCTGATACCCTTTACAACTGACATCCCTTAGAGCTGATACCCTTTACAGCTGATATCCCTTACTGCTGATACCCTTTACAGCTGATATCCCTTACTACTGATATCATTTACTGCTGTGATCGGTTTATTTGTTATTGTCAGTCCGTCCGTCCATCCATCCGTCCGAATTTCGTTTCCAGAGTAGTTCTCTGCAACTACTGGCTGGAATTCAACGAAACTTTATGGGAATCATCAATATCAAGAGGAGATGCACATATCGTCAGCTTGTCCGGTCAGACCTGTTAACTCAGAGTTATGGCCCTTTATTAGTTATGTAGTATGCATATAGAGTAAAATTTCGTTTTCGGAGTAGTTCTCTGCAACTACTGGCTGGAATTCAACGAAACTTTATGGGAATCATCAATATCAAGAGGAGATGGGCATATTGTCAGCTTGTTCCGGTCAGACCCTTTGACTCAAGAGTTATGGCCCTTGATTAGTTATGTAGTATGCATATAGAGTAAAAATCGTTTCTGCACTACTTCTCTGCAACTACTGGCTGGAATTCAATGAAACTTTATGGGAATCTTCAATACCAAGAGGAGATGCGCATATCGTTGCCTTGTTCCGGTCAGACAGAGTTATGGCCCTTGATTAGTTATACAATATGCATATAGAGAAAAAATTGTTTCCGCGCTACTTCTCTGCAACTACTGGCTGGAATTCAACGAAACTTTATGGGAACCTTCAATACCAAGAGGAGATGTGCATATCATCGCCTTGTTCCGGTCAGACACTTAAACTCAGAGTTATGGCCCTTGATTAGTTATGCAGTATGCATATAGAGCAAAAATCTTTACCGCGCTACTTCTCTGCAACTACTGGCTTGAATTCAATGAAACTTTATGGGATACTAAGAGGAGATGTGCATATAGTTGCCTTGTTCCGGTCAGATACTTATAACTCAGATTTATGGCCCTTGATTAGTTATGTTGTATGCATACATCTCATTGGCATTTCCAGATATTACTATTTAACACAAAGTTATGGCTCTGTTATTGCCCTGAATATTTATCAAGTTCAAAGAATATTACTGTTTATGCCATGATAAATATATATATAAAGCCTCATGTTTTCAGTTGTTGTGTTAATAAAAACCAGTACTCGGCGGGGGATATAAATTCAACGAATTTGCTTGTTACCCCGTATTTATTTCTTACCAAGAATCAATCTGATAGTAATTATTTATTTTTCCAAGTATTGACTTGATGTCATGTATCAGTTTGTTACCAAGTACAAATTTGTTACCAAGTATTGATTTGATACCATTTATTACATGCTTTTCGGTGGTTTATAGAAATATATCAGTGATATAAAACTGGTAATTTCACTGTTTGAAACAGTGAAATTACCACTTTGATAATTTCACTGTTTTGAATTTAAGCCCCTTACGTTGTTTCAGTGTAATACCAGCGTGCACAGTACTGGGTACCAACTTAATGACGTGACGTCGTAAATGACGTCACGTTGTATTATTATTTGGCGCGCTTTTCATTCAGTATTAGGTTAAATGTCTTTTTAAAACGTTTCTTTGCATATAATAAAAAGAAAATTTGTTTAGTTTAGTGTAAGATCGAAATATATTTCACCTTGTGAACACCAAAAGTTCATATTTCACTCGTGGCTGCGCCACTCGTGAAATATTCCTTTTGGTGCTCACTCGGTGAAATATATTCCGATCTTACACTGAACTAAACAAATATCCTCTATGTATTGATGTGTTACCAAGTATTGATTTGTTACCAAGTATTGATTTGATACCATGTATTGATTTAAAATAACTTTCAGATTGATGTCAGATTTGAATGATACATACAGTAACAGTGTGGTGACTGTGGCTAATTGGTCAGCTGGTAATTATTGTGTGGCCTACTCCCCAACAACATGTAGATGGTATCGAGCAAAAATAACCAAGGTTATACAGAAAACTCTTGTTGAGGTAATTGTTGAACATTTCACATAATTGTTAAACAGTTCAGGTTTTGTTAAACATTTCATGAAATCACAGAATTCAGGTATATATTTTTATGTTTCTATATTTTGATTTGCTATATTTATCATATATCTTTATTTGCTATATTTATTCTATAGGTTAATTTGTAAAACTGAAACTGTTCTATTTAATTAAACGCCTATTTCTATATACATATTCAATGGCGTTGTACAAAAGGATAATAAAAGTATGTACATATAGATAAAAAAACAACACATATGCAGGGTTGTCATTAAGAGGCGGCAGGAGGCCAAAATGCCTGTCTCAAATGCATTATGGGCCGCCTCAAAACTAAGAAAACACTCTTTGTTATGCATGATAAAGACAGAAATGACCGCCTCAAGTTCAAAACAAACCTTCTGCAAAAAATGTTAATGACAACCCTGCATATGCATGGCAAATGAACTACAAAAAAATATGTTAAAGATATCAGCCGTGTAAAATATAAAGTATTAAAAACTTTAAAAAAAGAAAGAATAGTTATAAAAATAACAATAAAAAATAATTTAAAAGAAAATAAAAATTAATGGTTATTTCAGTAAAATTTCAAACACATTTCCACATCTCTTATCAGTTTACAGCCCAATCACAATCTTAAAACAATGCGTAAAAGTCTCTAAAATAGTAGGTTTTGACATTTTTCTTGAACATGTCCAAAGTCGAAGACTGTCTTATATACAGAGGCAATTTATTCCAGAGAGTTGGACCAACGGTACTAAAACTTCTGTCGTTAAATGTTTTCCTTTTGTTAAAGGGGACAGCAAAACAATAATCCATATTATCAACAGATCTGAGATTTGGTCTTTTTGTGACAGGCTTGTGTAACAGTTCTGTTAGATAAACCGGAGCATTGCCCATAAAACAGTTATACATTGTACATAGTATTTTAAAATTGATCCTAGCTTTAATTGGTAACCAATGCAGTTCCAACAAAGAGTCTTTGGAACTATCATATTTTCCGCGTTGCAAAACAAGTTTAGCGCACATATACTTATTCTATAGTTTAAATTGTAGTATTTATTCTATAGTTTAATTTGCTATATTTATTCTATAATATAATTTGCTATATTTATTCTATAGTTTTATTTGTTATATTTCTTCTACATTTTTATTTGCCAGATTTATTCTAAAGTTTCACATGTTGCAGTATATCAGAATGTTTGCATGTTTTATATTGCTAGGTTCACATGTTGTATTATATTGGTAGGTTCACATGTTGTATTATATTGGTAGGTTCACATATTTTATTTTATTGGTAGGTTCACTTGTTGTATGATATGGTAGGTTCACATGTTGTATGATATGGTAGGTTCACATGTTGTATTATATTGGTAGGTTCACATATTTTATTGGTAGGTTCACTTGTTGTATGATATGGTAGGTTCACATGTTGTATGATATGGTAGGTTCACATGTTGTATTATATTGGTAGGTTCACATGTATTATATTGGTAGGTTCACATGTTGTATTATATTGGTAGGTTCACATGTTGTATTAGATTGGTAGGTTCACATGTTGTATTATATTGGTATATTCACATGTTGTATTAGATTGGTAGGTTCAAATGTTGTATTATATTGGTAGGTTCACATGTTGTATTATATTGGTAGATTCACATGTTTTATATTGGTAGATTCACATGTTGTATTATATTGGTATATTCACATGTTGTATTATATTGGTAGGTTCACATGTTGTATTATATTGGTAGATTTACATACTGTGTTATATTGGTAGGTTCACATGTTGTATTATATTGGTAGGTTCACATGTTGTATTATATTGGTAGATTCACATGTTGTATTATGTTGGTAGATTCACCTGTTGTATTATATTGGTAGATTCACATGTTGTATTATATTGGTAGATTCACATGTTGTATTATATTGGTAGATTCACATGTTGTATTATATTGGTAGGTTCAAATGTTATATTATATTGGTAGGTTCACATGTTGTATTAGATTGGTAGGTTCACATGTTGTTTTAGATCGGTAGGTCTACATGTTGTATTATATTGGTAGGTTCACATATTTTATTATATCGGTAGGTTCACATGTATTATAGTAGTAGGTTCACATGCTGTATTAGATTGGTAGGTTCACATGTTGTATTATATTGGTAGGTTCACATGTATTTTATTTGTAGGTTCACATGTTGTATTATATTGGTAGGTTCACATGTTGTATTATATTGGTATATTCACATGTTGTTTTATATTGGTAGATTCACATGTTGTTTTATATTTGTAGATTCACATGTTGTTTTATATTGGTAGATTCACATGTTGTATTATATTTGTAGATTCACATGTTGTATTATATTGGTAGATTCACATGTTGTATTATATTGGTAGGTTCACATGTTGTTTTATATTGGTAGATTCACATGTATCATATTGGTAGATTCACATGTTGTTTTATATTTGTAGTTCACATGTTTTATATTTGTAGGTTCACATGTTGCAGTATATCAGAAGGATTACATGTTTTATATTTGTAGGTTCACATGTTTTATATTTGTAGGTTCACATGTTTTATATTTGTAGGTTCACATGTTTTATATTTGTAGGTTCACTTGTTTTATATTTGTAGGTTCACATGTTTTATATTTGTAGGTTCACATGTTGGATTATGGATTTTTTGAGGTAATTGCTATCAGTAATCTTCGTCCAGTGATGAAACAGTACAGGAAGAGTCGGGCTTTCATGTTCCCATGTCAACTGGCCGGGGTGATTCCTGCAGGCGGCATGAAGGAATGGTCAAAAACTGCGTGTGAGTTTATGGAATCAAACATTGTAAACAAGAAAATTTTCCTCAATCAAAGAGTAAGTTATTTATAAAATATTTTAGTGTTTAGAAATGAGTTTTTGTGATTGTATGATGTTTCGGTCTATCGTTTTCTACAATTTTGTTAAACAACATCAAGCCATATGGTAGATTTTAATATAACCACTTAAGAATGATCCATAGATAGTATTTAGTAAAAGGTATATAAATAAGTCAAGGCAAATAAAATATATATTATACTGAAACTTTCAATGGAGTTTCAGAAAATTTGAAAATGTACTGTCATGTGTACATTGAACTTTAACATGTTTGAAAAATGCAATATTACGATAGTAAATTTGTCTGTTTCACATGAAATTAAAGTTAATGTAGAGATAGCAAAAATGTTGTGTTGATAACATGTCACTCTAGACTAAAATAAATATTTAAAAAATATACTTTTCAAAAACAGCATCATGAATGTCAAACATCTTAAATACTGTATTAGATTTCTAGCCATTGCACAAGATAATTTTGAGATCAGATATTACCCAAACTCGGGGGTACCTTACGGGGTAAACCCGTTTAAATGTCCTCAGAAAATGAAAGAGTTATTTTGGCATGCAGCATTGCTTACTGATCCCTAAACAAAGATTCAAACCCCTTGTATAAAAATTGGAAAATCATGAAAGGAAAGTAATACAGTACCATGATATTTGAGTAGAATATTGTTTCACAAAAGGAAAGTTATACAGTAACATGATATTGGGTGTGACATAATATTGTGTAGAATATTGTATCAGGAAAGGAAAATCATACTGTGACATGATATTGAGTAGAATATTGTGTTACACTGCAACATGTTGTTTGAGCAGAACTTTGTATCATGAAAGAAAACTTATAATACTGTGACATGATATGTATGTAGAGGATTGAATCACGAGAGGAAAGTGACATTATAGCATTGGTTTGAGTAGAATATTGTAAAGTTATTAAACTGTGACATGGTATTTGTGATTGTTTATATAAAAACAGGGAAATCCGATGGATGGGAAGTTACAGTGTGATCTCGTGATTGAGGAGTATATTGATGAGACGGCTCTTGAACCAGGCAGAAAGACGTATCATTCTTTAATTGACAGGATTAAAGAGAAAGGCCTTGCTATACCAGTGCCAAAGTAAGTATATTATAGTTTATATGAGCCGTGTCACGACAAATCCAACATAATTGGTTTCTTCCCCTCTTGCAAATGTATTGTGTAATTTTTCCTCAAAATTAAGGACAGGGCTGCTTCCCCAACCTGTGAAAAAAAGCCCTGGGGCTTACAGGTGACATCGTTAACATTGAAAATTTATTTTTTGGTAGTTTTTATTTTTTGTGATGTGATTTAATATAGGGTAAAATGAAGTTTATATTAAATAATGAACAGCCCTTGTCAATTTCCACACAATTAACATACAATTTTATGTGAAAATCTAACTTAATAATAAACGTACAAAATGTCTGAAAATCTAATAGGTGAACTGAACTAACGTAGGGCATATTTGGTGAAGAAAATTACTGTTCTCATGATATGTTCTGTTTACACAGGAAACATGGTGAAGTGAATGAGAAACAGACAGTGTTTCCAGTATGTTACTATAAAAAGGCAGAGGCTGAAGTTAAAACGGGAGATAAAGTGATGCCAGTATATGTTGACTATGAAGGTGTAATACACTGTTACACCATGGAAGGAGGTAAGCTAAATGTTGGATTTTGTAAGAATAAATAAAAAAAATTTATGTTAACTTTTAAAGTGCTGGAACCGAAGGCGTTAAGACTTTGCCACCAGTATAGAGCCAGGCCAGTCTGCACATCCATGCAGTCTGACCAGGCTCTATACTGTTGGCTGACATTTAAAATACTCAGCATGTTTAGGGTTAAGGATGGATTCTACATCATCCTGACACTGGTAAGCATTGAGGATTCATTATTATCTTTCAAGATTAACCTTGTGGATGAAATTTTATTTAGATACCACATGGGTAGAATCTTTGACCACAAGAGTTTTGTTTTTAGCTCGACGTTTAGAAGAATAAGGATAGCTATTGTAATCAATGTCACCATAACACTTTGGTTAAGTTTTTGTGTGTAAGTCGATGGTTTCAAAACTACAGAAGGGAATGAGTTGAAACTTCACACACTTACTTGAGAGCATTACAGAAGGTCACAATTCAAGGTCCATAACACTAACATGGGTTGTGACAGTATTTTTGCCCGTTTTTGAACTAAAAAAAATTCAACATTATCCAGGTTCTTACCAGTGGACGAGCTTGCTGTATTGACAGCTTTTGTTAGAAAAAATGTATAGTTTATCATAAATCTAAAATAGTAACATTGTTTTTATGTAGCTGCATATAGTCAAATAGCTTGAAACTGACATTGTAGAATACTTTGATGAAATGGGTACATTTAGATAAAGATTTGTATATTCCAGAATGTCCATATTTTATATTCACAGTGTTGTAATTTTGATCTATTTATTAATTAATACTACTACAGGATTTTGTCTATGATATGGGTTTAATTTTTGTCAAGAATCATGTATATAACATGTAAGATGTATACAATCTATATAACATGATACCATTCTTGTTATCTCCCTTTGAACTGGCTCTATTTGGTATAAATGATAACATTATAACCTCTATAAAGCAAAGATTTCCACTATATTTTACCTTTGTAGAGCAACACCTGTTAGCTTCAACAACCAAATTATTTTGTCACCAAAGGGTGTTGGTCTACAGATGTTATCCTGTATATCACTGTGATAAAACTTTTAGTTACGTGAGTAGTGTGTGTGCCTGTTTGTATATAGCTTGGAAATATTGTATAAAGATATTCTCATTCATATTCCAGATGATATATTTCAAAATATGTGTGACATTTTACACCGGAAGTTTGCTAACAGTGAGCCGTCAGGTCCAGAGCAGACGTACGAGAAGGGTCAAGCGTGCGCTGCATTCTATGAGAAAGATGGACAATGGCACCGAGCCACTGTACTAGAGACTGAACCCACTAGAGCTAAGGTAAATAGATGCTAAAAGTAGTTTTGACGTATCTATAGTTGTACAAAAAATAGCTGCACCCTCACTTTTTCTCTCTTGTTAAATTGGACATGCCAAAACATTCTGGTAGGGTGTCCATGGCTGAGTGGTTAAGGTCATTAAATGTTTGAATTCATTCATGTAAGGAAGCTATCCAGCCAGCTTACAGAACATCAGTGGTTCTACTCGGGTGCCTGCTCCTGTCTGATATAATGCGCCACGGAGTGGCACGTGATGTTTCCCTCCAAAAGTTAAACTTGAAAGTCCACAAAATGACAATTACAGTGTTGGTGCAGAGTTAAACTCAACAAAATTTAATAGACATGCCGAACAAGCTTAGTAATGGTGTCAGTCAAATTTCTAGTTATATTTACAAAAATAATCAAGTTTAGATTAATCATTCAAGCAAAAAAATTAAATCAGTGAATTGTACATGTATATGTTTCAGATGACTTAAAACAGAAAATTAAATATACATATATATCTGTTTTCAGATTCACTTCATAGACTATGGAAACATTGAGTGGGTAGGGTATGATAATTTGCGTGCAGATGTTCAGGAGTTTACAGACATTCCACAACAAACCTTCCTGTGCACACTTCATGATGTCAGACCTGTAAGTAAACTTGTTTTTTGTTCAGCATTAGCTAGAAGTCTTATTATTATTTTAGAAGCTTCGTAAGCTCATCTGTTTCAAAGAAAAAAAGTCAAGCTATTATGATCACTGTGTCATCTTTGTTGTGTAAAAGGTTTAAACGTATCCCAGTATTAACCAGGTTTTCCGAAGGAAAAAAACTGGTTATTAGATTGAGGTATGTTGGCGGGCGGGCGTAAACAATTTCTTCTGTGCGCAACTCCTCCTACATTTCTCAACAGACTTTGACCAAACTTTCACAGAAGCTTTGTCATCAAGTGCCCTGGCGCATATTTGTCGGGGTTTTGCCATTGGATAATATTTGACCTAATTATGGCCCTTTGTTGTTTTTTCTTATATAGAATATATAGTGAACAACTTCTGAGCGCAACTCCTCCTACATTTCTCAACGGATTTTGACCAAACTTTCACAGAAGCTTTGTCATCAAGTGCTCTGGCACATATTGTCGGGGTTTTGCGATTGGATAATATTTGACCTTATTATGGCCCTTTGTTTTTTTTTCCTTATATAGAATTCATGTATATAGTGAACAATTTCTTCTGAGCGCAACTCCTCCTACATTTCTCAACGGATTTTGACCAAACTTTCACAGAAGCTTTGTCATCAAGTGCCCTGGCACATATTGTCCGGGTTATGCGATTGGATAATATTTGACCTAATTATGGCCCTTTGTTTTTTTCCTTATATAGAATATATAGTGAACAATTTCTTCTGTGCGCAACTCCTCCTACATTTCTCAACAGATTTTGACCAAACTTTCTCAGAAGCTTTGTTATCAAGTGTCCTGGCACATATTGTCGGGGTTTTGTGATTGGATAATATTTGACCTAATTATGGCCCTTTGTTTTTTCCTTATACAGAATTATCAATATATAGTGAACAAATTCTTCTGTGCTGAACTAGTCCTACATTTCTCAACAGATATTGTTCAAACTTTCACAGAAGCTTTGTCATCAAGTGCACTGGCGCATATTGTAGAGGGTTTGTGATTGGATAAGTTTTGACCTAATTATGGCCCTTTGTTTGTTTTCCTTATACAGAATATATTTTTTCCTTATACAGAATATATAGTGAACACTTCTTCTGTGGCAATTCCTCCTACATTATTCATGTTTTACATTGTTTATTGCTTGTATTTGTATTTCAAATACAACATATTTATCTACAATGGAGATAATTGAAAACCTGGTTTCGTGGCATTGCCATGTTTCTTGTTCATACATTTCAAAAGGTATCAACATGAATCTTGGAATGCTTGCATCACATATTAGAATAATTTTAAAAATGAATGGGTGTTGACTGTTAGAGATGAGCAATAACACCACATACACCACATGTAGTCCAAGAGATGGCGGGGTTTTATTGCAATTTACCGTATCACCAAAAGAAACATTGCCATTATGAAGCATATTGTTTGTAGTTTCTAAAAACCCATTTCTTAAGTTACGCAGCCCGGGCAAAAGTACAAAAATCCAAGATGGCCGCCAATATGGCCGCCATAAATTACAAAATACAGTCGACTCTCGTTATCTCGAAGTCATTGGGACCGTCCAAAAAATATCGAGATAACGAAATGTCGAGATAAACATATTAGGGTTAGAACAAGGCGAAACTGATTTTTACAAAAGACATGTGCATACCTTATGTCAAATAAACTATAATATCCCCATGTCTTGTTTTCATAGGCCTAGTCAATATTTAACAAAGTAACATAAGCGGATGTTTACCAGCGGAAATACGGGTGTCTGTGATAAAAACACATAGTGAGGTTTACTCAGTAATACACCAATATAGTGAATCGGATATCGGATATGGTTAATCCGGATATCCTCCCGGGTTATTTATCGGGTCTTTCTCGAGATTGTTCCACCGCTGATTGATTTGGTGGTGATGTTGTGAAACAATATTGCAACGATAGCGTTTCTATACTTTCACTTTTTCATTTACATTTAAAGTCATAATGAATTGATACAGTGTTCGAATATTTAAAAAGAATGTAAAATCCACTCATTGTGGACATAAGTCAATCAACATGCTAAATAGATTAACTTTTATAAAAACAGCTAAACTTGTTACAAACATAATCGTCATTATGACACGCGCTATTAATTGAGCAATTATCGTCTAGATTGTGTTTTTCACACGTCTGAAGGGAACAGACGAAGTCGAGATAAACAAAGGATAATAGTGTGAAAATAACTGTTGGGGCTGAAATTTTACATCGAGATACTGAAAATATCGAAATAGAAATATCGAGATAAACAAATATTTCCAATATAGATAAAGAAGGAAGAAAATCGGGACTTTCAAAATTTCATCGAGATAACGAAATATCGAGAAAAGCGATGTCGAGATAACGATAGTTGACTGTACCATATAATTTTTGTTTCTTGATTTTTTACATACGGATTTTGTACAAAGTAGTTTCAATTGCACAATATCAGATAAAATATGGCTAATTTATGGTTCAATCAAGCAAAAATGACAATTATATGGCAAACTTTTAAATTATCACTATCAATTTACCAAAAAAGTGGTAAAAAATAGCATTTTTAGCTCACCTGTCACAAAGTGACAGGGTGAGCTTTTGTGATCGCTTTTCGTCCGGCGTCCGTAAACTTTTACTTTAAATGACATCTCCTCATAAACCACTAGGCCAATTTCATCCAAACTTCACAGGAATGTTCCTTTGGTGGTCACCTTTAAAAATTGTTCAAAGAATTTAATTCCATGCAGAACTCTGGTTGCCATGGCAACAGAAAGAAAAAACTTTAAATATCTTCTTTAAAAAACCCTAAGAGCTAGAGCTTAGATATTTGGCATGAAACATGTTCTAGTGAGTGTCTACCAAGTTTGTTCAAATAAAAGCCCTGGGGTCAAAATTGGCCCAGCCCCGGGGGTCATTGATTTTCCTTATATGTGTATAGCAAAAACTTAAAAAATCTTCTTTGAAAAAACCCAAATAGCTAGAGTTAAGATATTAAGCATGAAGCATCTTCTATTGAGTGTCTACAAAGTTTGTTCAAATAAAAGACCTGGGGTCAAAATTGGCCCCACCCCAGGGGGTCATTGATTTTCCTTATATGTGTATAGCAAAAACTTAAAAATCTTCTTTGAAATAACCCAAATACCTAGAGTTTAGATATTAAGCATGACACATCTTCTAGTAAGTGTCTACCAAGTTTGTTCAAATAAAAGCCCTGGGGTCAAAACTGGCCCTGCCCCAGGGGTGTCATTGTTTTTAACTATATGTGAATAGTAAAAACTTAAAAAAAATCTTCTTTTAAAAAGCCCAATGAGCTAGAGCTTAGATAATTAGCATGAAACATCTTCTTATGGGTGTCTACCAAGTTTGTTCAAATAAAAGCCTTGGGGGTCAAAATTGGCCCTGCCCCAGGGGGTCATTGATTTTCCCTATATATGCACATAGTAAAAACTTAAAAAATCTTTTTTTAAAGAACTCAAAGAGCTAGAGCTAAGATATTTAGCATCAAACATGTTCTAATAGGTGTCTACCAAGTTTGTTCAAATAAAAGCCCTGGGGTCAAAATTGGCCCCGCCCCGGGGGTCATTGATTTTCCTTATATGTGTATAGCAAAAACTTAAAAAATCTTCTTTGAAAAAACCCAAATAGCTAGAGTTTAGATATTAAGCATGAAACATCTTCTAGTGAGTGTCTACAAAGTTTGTTCAAATAAAAGCCCTGGGGTCAAAATTGGCCCCGCCCTTGGGGTCATTGATTTTCCTTATACGTGTATAGCAAAAACTTAAAATCTTCTTTGAATAAACCCAAATAGCTAGAGTTTAGATATTAAGCATGACACATCTTCTAGTAAGTGTCAACAAAGTTTGTTCAAATAAAAGCCCTGGGGTCAAAACTGGCCCCAACCCAGGGGTGTCATTGTTTTTAACTATATGTGTATAGTAAAAAATTTGAAAAATCTTCTTTTAAAAAACCCAATGAGCTAGAGCTTAGATGTTTAGCATGAAACATCTTCTTATAGGTGTGTGTGTGTGTGTGGGGGGGGGGGGGGGCTATATACAGGTGAGCGACCTCAGGGCCATCATGGCCCTCTTGTTTGACAATATGATGACTTTCGTTTTTCCGTATTTACACAATATAAACAAAAATGCATTTAAAGTGTGTGTACTTTATCAATTTAACATAGTTAAACAAGTTTAGCATAAAAAAATCATTTTCTGGGCATTTATGCCGTAAGAGTAGATCTTCAAAAGTGGGTGGGGTAAAATTAGTGAAAAAAATTAAAATTACAATGTTCCCAAAACATGCCTTTACATTATAATTTCAGTTTAATGTATAGTAAATTGTGTTTTAATTATGCCCCCATTTCGAAGAAAAGGGGGTATATTGCTTTGCACTTGTCGGTCCGTCGGTCTGTCGGTCCGTCGGTCCGTAGACCAAATGGTTTCCGAGTGATAACTAAAGAACCCTTAGGCCTAGGAACTTCAAACTTGGTATGGTGATTGGTCATGACCAGTAGATGACCCCTATTGATTTTGGGGTCAAGGGGTCAAAGGTCAAGGTCACATTGACCTTGAAAGCAAAAACGGTTTCCGATCAATAACTAAAGAACCTTAAGGCCTAGGAACTTCAAACTTGGTATGGTGATTGGTCATGACCAGTAGATGACCCCTATTGATTTTGGGGTCAAGGGGTCAAAGGTCAAGGTCACATTGACCTTGTAAGCAAAAACGGTTTCCGATCAATAACTAAAGAACCTTAAGGCCTAGGAACTTCAAACTTGGTATGGTGATTGGTCATGACCAGTAGATGACCCCTATTGATTTTGGGGTCAAGGGGTCAAAGGTCAAGGTCACATTGACCTTGAAAGCAAAAACGGTTTCCGATCAATAACTAAAGAACCTTAAGGCCTAGGAACTTCAAACTTGGTATGGTGATTGGTCATGACCAGTAGATGACCCCTATTGATTTTGGGGT